GAGAATGACAGTATTACAGGGTGTAACAGAAAATGAACAATGTTTTCTGTATTATCTCCTTGTCTATAAAAGTTTTTGTTTATATTATCACATATAGTAAAATCCAGTAAGATACAACATATTAAGACCGATGGACACAGAAGAATAAAAGCTTGATGGGACTTCAAAACAAGATGATATTAAATCAGCATTAGCTCTTATGATGTCTTGTTTTCTCCAAAATAGCTGTTCATACCATCCAACCTTCTCTGTCTCATTTCTGTTGAGCTCTTTTTCTGTCATTAGTTGTCAGTTTGTCTTCCTCATTTCGCTTTCTGCTCCATTCATTGTGGCCACTATGCCACTGTTTCTGGGATCTTGGTACTTTTCTCTTTTAGAATGTCCTGCAGTATTCTCTGTAGAGTTGAATTGGTGGTTGCAAATTCCCCTAGTTCCTCTTTGTCTTGAAGCACCTTGTTTCTCCATTAATTTCTAGGGACACTTGTGCAGGATATATCAATCTTGGCTGGAGGTTATTGTCTTTCAAAGCTTGAATTATTTCGCCCCATACTCTTCGTGATTTGATGATTTGTGCCAAGTCTGCTGTAATTCTGATGGGTGTTCCCTTGTAAGTGATCTGTTGCTTGTCTCTGACGGCTTTTAGTATTCTGTCCTTATATAGGATTTCGGGAATTTTGATTATTATATGCCTGGGTGTAGTTCTGTTTGGGTTGTAGGTGGCTGGGTTCCTGTATGCCTCATAGATCTGAGTATCTTTACCTTTTCCCATATTAGGGAAGTTCTCCGTGATTATTTCTGTGAGTAGCCTTTGCAGTTCATTTGTTTTATTCCTGCTTCTGCCTTTACATTCTTAATTCTTAAGTTATAGATCCTTTTATCACCTTCTAGCCTTTGTATTGTTACTGCTTGTTTCCTTGTTATTTTTAAGAAGTTTTTCCTTTCATGTTCCTGCATTACAAATCTGTCCTCCAGTTCAGATAATCTATCCTTAGTTTCTTTCAAGCTGTTATGCCAGCTTTCAATTCAGTTTTTAGTTTCCTGGTAATCTCTTTGAACCTGCTTCATGTATTCTACGTTTTCTCTATTTTCTCTATCAAACAATTCTCCCTTTTTTTTTCTGTTCTTCCATTCCACCATCTGTTTTTTCTTGAGAGGTACTTAGCATTTCTTTAACTATTCTACTTATATCTTGCTTTACTTGGTGAAATACTTCACTTTTGAACTCGTCTGTGAGGTCCCGGAGATATCGCTTTATGTCTGTTGGTGCCATGCCTGATATTGCATGTTTTCTGTCCTCATTCTCCTTTGCATTTACCTTTCCTGGATCAGTGTTCTCAGGATTGGAAACTGAGGGTCCTTTCTTGTTGCTCCCTCTTCCCATACTTTTTGTTCTTTCCATACAAGCGTATATAGGAGGCCCAGTTTCTTTCTTTGTCGGTTTCAGTTTGTTTGAATCACACCAGCTAGATGTTCCCACCCACTGCATTGTACTAGGAAGACACAGACCTGGCAGCCTGCCCCTCCAGGTCAGTCAACCTGCTGAAGGCTTCACTGTGTTAGGGTGCACTGCCAGGCGCAGGGACCTGGTTTGGGCTAGCCTCCTGGGTCTTAGTCCACGGCATCACCCAGGTCAAGTGCTTCCCACCAGTCCCGCTTGAGAGGGGAATATGTGACTGAGGTCACTGCAGCGTCCTGTTCCGCCTAGTCTGCCCAGTCCCAGAATGTCCTCTGGTGGAGCCTCCTAGTCTATGGAACGGTCCCCGTTCCTCTCCCTCACCGCAAGTCGATGCAGGGCTCCCTGCCAGCTCTGCTGTCAATTTGGTTTGCTGATCTTGGGTAGAGTTTTTTTTGAAACCGTTTTGCCACCTCCCTCTCCCCCAACACCTGTCCGGGCTCTGTTTTGTGAGTGGGGACTTTTCTGCTCTGTTTTTTTCTTGGAGGTCAGGATTGCAGTGAGCAGCTATACTTGGTCTCTTCTTTCATTCTGCCAACTAGTAGTCAGTCTTCCCCTGCCACCCACATGGCCAGCTTCACAAGGGCCAGAGGCTTAGATGGGTCCCATACTTGGTTCAGTGCTCCGCCAGTGCTGCCTTGACATTTGTAATGAGTTTTTTTTAGACTGTTTTGCAAATGGATTCTGGTGGACAAGGGAGCATGTGTTAGGAACACAGGACCATAGTAATCCACAGTCCAGCTTCCTGGCCACCTTCATGCCTCCTGGGATAGATTCTCAGCCACCAGCCTCCTGATGTCCTGGCCTTTCCTGGCCTCTCTTGCCCTTTCCTTTGTCTTGACCATTGCTAGAGGACTGTGGGATGTGTATGCCTCAGGTGATTTGCATGGAGCAAGGGGTGGTATGGCCATCCCTGCTTGGGTGCTGCATTGGCGTCTGTCTAGTCCAGAGGCCACTTTGCCACCAGGGTGACCTCCACTCCACTCAGCCCCTCAGGTACCCAGCATGTTCTGGTGCGTAGGCTTGAGAGTGCTTGGGGTCTCCTGTCTATAGCGGCCTCAGGAAGGGGTGAAGCCTGACTCAGCTTCCCCAGGGCCCATCCTGGCTGGAGTCTGTGTCTGTGTGGTAGCTGGTAGAAAGGGAACCTGGGAGCCCACAGTGGGCCAGCCCATGTGTGCTGGTTGCAGGGTAGGACTTCCAGGTGCTTCTGAGGGTCTGTCATCATACTGGACAACCCCTGTACTTCCTGTGCTGGATCCCTGCCTGGGAATTTCCTATTCCCCATCCTGGCCTCCTGGCACTTTTCTTTACTTTTGAGGAAGTGACCTCGCATTTTCGTCTGTGTGGAGGACCTGGTACGTGCAGCTGTGTGAGTAAGTGCAAGTCAGAGAAGTGCAAGGACCCTTCCTGCTCTCAAAGTATCCCTTCTTCTTCCTCTTCGAGCTGTGAGCTTGGTGGGCTTGCAGGGGAGGCAGGAAACAAAGGCAGAACTCCACATGCAGCTGCTAAAATGCTCAGACATGTGGCTTTCCACCAGGGTTCCCTCTTTGCAGGGCATCTGCTGGCTCCATCCCCTGTCTGTGACAGGGCAGTAGTGACCAGTGCTGGGTGCCTCTCTGAGTGACCCTTCCAGCAAACCCATGGTGAATATTTTCATTCCTGCTTTACAGAAGGTACCAGTGGTGCTTGGAGGTGAGCTGGATGTAAACCTCTGCAGGTGTACAAGACATGAGTGGACGGCAATCAAGGAAGCGAGGTTTATCTTGGCTCACACTTGGTAGAGGTCTCAGTCCATAGTCAGTTGCTCCAAGGCAGGGTTGCATGGCAAGGGGCAAAGAGTTGCCCATGGCAAGGGGGTGGGAAACAGAGAGGAAAGGAGAACCCTTCCAGGCCTCATCCTCAGTGACCCCATTTCTTCTCCCAACATCACATTTCAGGTTGAACTCAACAGTGGACCAATCTACTGATAAACATCACACTTGATGTGATCACCTTCCACAGACCTCACTTATGAGTGTGTAAGGCTTTGGGGGATATCAAGGGAGAAACCATAGCAATTGCCTGCAGGGCTTTCCTGCTGAGTTGCTCCTAATCCAAACTATTTCCATCACAGGGGAATCCATCCTTGTCCTGATGGTTGGGCTGCAAAGTCAGCATGCTTGGTCAGCATGCTTTGACCCGAGCGTGGAGCCTTGGGCTGCCTGTGCTTTATGGGCACCATCTCAGCCCACTGGGGAAAGAAGGTTTTCCTAGTCAGGGTGTTGGGCAGAGGAAGGGGCTGTGCTGGGAAGAGGTAAGCATCTTGTTCCCTGGGGTTGGAAGGAAGGTCTAGACCCTCCCAGGGTGACAGGGAACACCTGAGTTTCTGGCGTCCACTGTGTTTCCACGCTGTAGGTTTTGTATCTTCCTTCCTTACCTCAAGATGTTAAGATAAATTGCCTCAGTCAGAATGCTTTGAGGTCTGAGGAACTGCAAACTTTTCATTGGTTCAAAATCCTCCCTTGGACCTCTAAGAGAAATCGTCCCTCTGCATGTCAACCAGATGAAGTTTGTTCTCATTGACCAGTTGCCCACATTGGTGGGAGGGCATCTAAGGGACCATGGCAGAGAGGCCCTTCCTAAATAGACCCCAATGAGTAATGGCAAACACAGCACTGGAGCTTCCACTAACTATGGTTTAATTTGACCATTTGGGGTCGTGAGTGGGCGCGCGTAAGATCTTAGGTCCGTCCCTCTCTAAAGAGTGTGCCCTTCATACTATAAGAACAGCCTTTGGAGGTCCCTAGCTGTGTCTGTGTGGGAGCTGGCCTGCCAGGGAATGTGGATGAGGAACATGGAAAAGGATGGAATGACGGAGAGTGTGGCAAAATTGAGAGCATGGTCCTCTGTGGAGGGCTGAGGCAGCCCCTGGCCTGCAGAGGATGCGACCCAGGCAGCCAGAGTTGGGCTTTTCAGGCCATTGTGGGAGTTGGACTTGCATGTGGCATTGGCTAGACGGAATTGGTAGCCCTGAAGGCTCCCAGGCCAGAAGGAGGACCTTCAGAGCTCAGGCAGCTGGGCCTGGCTCTCTGTCCCCCAACCCTGGACCCCAGGAGTGTCACAGTCAAGGGGAAGAGGAAAGAAGAGTTGTGTGAAAGCAGTCACTGAAGAAGGACACTGCCCCTCCTGCCTGGCTCCTTTGCCTTCTAGATTGTAAAGTGCTTACAGATAGGAAGGAAGACGATAGTGTTGTCTACACTGAGCCTGTTAGGAGCAGCCAGAGGCTGGGCGGTACAGCAGGAAGAATACGGACTTTCACCTGGCCTGGCCTGGCCTGGCCTGGTTTGAATCCTGGCCCAGCTCATCCTGATCACATGCCTGTGAGCAAGTGGCATCTTTCCTTCCAGCCTTAGTTTCCCCTCCCAAAGATGGAGGTTAGGGCACCTGCTCTGCAGGACTGGTACTGAGCATGGTTTTCTGCAAGTAGCTGAGTGTGCTTCCTCTGTCTCCTTCCCTGGGCCCTGGGAACTAACTCCACTGCCTTCCTCCTGCCCATTCACCCTTTCAGGGAACACCTTCAGCACCCTGGCGGGACTGGTGTTTGACTGGACCATTGTGAAGGACACAGAGGCGGATGGATTCTCAGACTCCCACAATGCACTGCGGTAAGAGGCGCCTTGATGAGGTCTGGCTAGTTTAGGGGAACCCGGGACAGGGGACATTGTGGGCCTTTCTTGGGCATCCTGGATGCTTTCCAGAAGCCTGTGACATTCCTGGTGACTGTAGAGAAAGGGTTTCCTCTCCTCCAGCTGCATGGGCACCTGGGTATTTCCAATGTGTTCTGTGGGAGCTCGGCAGAGAGGCTGGGTGGTGACAAGAGATAACACAGAGAACACAGTGCTGTCTTATCTCAGGCCCAGGGAATGGGTGTGTGGTCCTTGGGGCGCCAGAACTCCTCACGGGGAGCAGGTTAGAGGGAGACAGGTGTCATCTGGGAGGACGGCCAGTGGGCTCCCCAGCATGGAGCGTTTGGACACCTTGAGTGTCTGACTTGTTTGTGTCTGTTGCAGCCTGCGGGCTGGACACAGCTCTCTCCTCTGCATTTTCCTGCTGCAGGAACGGACTTGCAGAGGTCAAGCCATTGGAGTTTCTAAGTGGCAGACCTGAGATTTGAACTCAGACCTGTGTAAATCTGTACTGTCCAACATGGCAGCCATAACCCCATCTGGCCATTTAAATTTACATTTGACAAAGTGAAAAGTTCACTTCCTGATATACGGGATGGGGTGGAAGTGGATCCTTTCCATAGCTGTGGTCCTGTCTCCTGGAGAACCTCAGGCCCAGGATCTGAGCTGTTATTCTCTGCTATACTACATGGTCTTGTGCTTTGTTAAATAATTTTTTAAGACTCACCATCTTTTTTAGGAGAAGGAGACTTAATTTATAAAGATTTTGCAACAATTTTAGGCCTGCAGAAAATTTACCAGTCAGGTACAAAAAGTAGTTTTTCTGCATTGTTTGAGAGCCCATTGACAAGCTGGTGCCTCACCACCCTGGATTATTTTAATGTGAATTTAATACCATTAAGGACATTTTTCTGCATTTCTGCAGTAGAGTCATCAAAATTAGGAAACTGACACTGATACATGCAGTGTTCTGATCTCATTCAAGGTTTTCTGATTGCCCAGTTTTGTCTTTTGTAACAACAACAGAAGTCCCCACAAACCCAACCCAGAATCACACACCATGTGTTGGCCCTGGTGCTTGGTCTCTGATCACCTGGTCTTTCTTTGATTCTTGACATCCTGGTACTCATGAACAGAACTATCTACTTCTAGAGAAGGTCCCCTGTCCCCTGTCAGACTCAGAGCTTTGTGTCCCGGGCAGGAATCTTATAGACACACAACCTTCATTGTCCCACCAGTCTTATTCTTCCTGTTGACCCAGGACAGATACTGACTGCTGAGGTCATTTGGGGGAGATGGTATCTGCCAGGAAGTCATCCCTTCCCCAAAAGTGGCTTCCTCACCCTTTTGTGGTTGTTAGTAAGTACTTCATGGGGGTGGGCGGAGTTAAGGATCTGATCTCTTGTTTCTGCCTTTAAAAGTCCAGCTCTGGGCCAACGAGACAGTGGTGATGTGGTGGCACTGCCACTTCCTCCTTTGTCCGCCTTCATGCATGGCTGCATTGAGGTTCAGATGGTCCTTGCATTTAGGAACATGGGCTCTAGGGTCCCAGGATGTGGCTTCCAGTCCTGGCCTTGTTGCTGTCACTTGGGAGAAACCTTGGGCTCACTTGAAAATTACAGAATAAAGGGAGGGACCAGATAGAAGGGATCCCTCAGGCCTGCCCTGTGTGCTAGCCCCAGCTTTTCCCCTCAGGTCCCATGGGGTATCTCTTTGGCTGGGTCTGGGGTTGGAGTCCTGCTGCTTGGTTTCCGTGGGCCTCACTTTCCCCACTTGGGAAGCCAGTTGTCTCCCAGTTGAGTGTTAATCAAGTGTGGGTTCTGATGCAGGTCAATTCCCAGGCTTCTGATCAAGCTGGATTGGGCTGAATATCCTGCATCTTCACAGGGTCCTTGGAAGTTTTCACATGGTACTTTACAAGGACACATTTCTAGGTAGCACTGTGCAGAGAGGGGACTATCACGTGTTTCAGCATCCCACAGCCCACAGGAGGTTCCTGTAATGGTAATGCTCGTGTTGGACTATGAGGAATCTGATGTTCAGGTCTGACAAGTTTCCTTTTCCAGAATCCTCACCTTCCTGGAATCTACATACATCCCTCCTTCTTACATCTCAGAAATGGAGAAGGCAGCCAAGCAGGGGGACACTGTTCTGGTGTCTGGGATGAAGACTGGGAGCTCCAAGCTCAAGGCTCGCATCCAAGAGGCCGTCTACAAGGTGAGCTGGCTCTGGAGCCCGATGACATTTGTGTCTGTGTTGGTTGCCTGTTTTGAAGGGATATCTGGGGGAGGCTCCTGAGGTCCCTGTCTCTGGGGTCATAGAGCAGCTGCTTGATCTCAGTTTAGATCTCAGAACAGAATTCTCAGTAACTATTCATTTCTGATGGGTACTCCATCCCTGCTCCATGCTGTATAGGGACATCAAAACAGAACCCAGTGTCCCTTCCACCATGCTGTCACCCCCTGCTGCTCCCCAGCAGAGGCCCTAGGACTGTCACTCAGTGAGCTCATTTGTGGAGAGCTGAGATCTCATACCTCCTCCCTGCCCCACACCATGTTGTCCCATCCTCACCTCAGGAGCTGACAGTGGGAGAGATGTGTGTCACAGACCCGGGACAGCAAGAAGCCAGTTGCAGGCCTCACCTAGATCCTGATTTCTCCTCCATTCCAGAGGGCCAATATCCTCCCAGCCCAAGCTTCCTTTTGGACCAGAGCTCTGAGACCTTCCTGTCACCTACCTGGGTCTGGAGCATAGGCAGGCCCATAGAGAACTTTGTCCACCATTGAATTTTGCAAAGTGATGGGCAAAGAACAGTCCTCTTCTGGTCTATCTCTGTCTTTAGTGGTTTAGCAGTTATTGGAAGTCCTGTAGGGTTCTGGAAACAGGATATTGTAGTGTCACCAGGACCTGTCCTAAGTGACTCGGCAAATGGTACAAGAAGGCAGTTTGCCCCTGTTAGGCTCCTAGGCTAGGGAGGAAGACAGACCCATTGTCCTTCCTGTGATTAGTAAGTGTTCTTCCCAACTTGTGGGGCTAGAAAGCACAGAGCCTAGACCCATGGGAAGGGCTTTCTGTCTTTGTAATGTATCAGAGACACTGTCGAATTTAACGTTCATCATGGAAACCCAGAAGACCTTAGAACAGACTCAAAGGAGACTCCAAGCATCAGAGGCATGCGGGCCACTGGGGTGCTAAAGTGAACTTCCAAAGAGATGGTAATATCTGCAGTGTGACAGCACTTGCACCTCCACAGGGACAGCATCTTTGCGTTTCTGCCTGTGAGAATCACTGGTTTTGCCTTTCATTTTCTGCAATGTACTGGGCTATCAGTAGCTCTCAGATGGGAGGTGCCAGCCCTTACGAAATTTGAGTGCATGTCTGCCATTCCTCTGGGGTCCCCTGGGATCTCTGTGGCCAGAGATCTTGTTTCTTCATCTTAACACTCCCATTGCCTTAGGAGTATACTGGAAGTTAGAAATAGAACAGAATTGCCAGCCTCCAGTGTGTAGCTCTGTGTTAGAGCATTGCCTAGCCTTTGCCAGGCTGTGGGCCCCATAGCCAGCACTGATAATACACGCAAAGTCTCTCCTACCCACCTCTTCCCGTGCCCCTTTCCCTGTGTCCACCTCATCTTTCTTGTACTCTTCTTATGCCAAGAGTGTACGCCCTGCCGAGGTCAGGCTGCTGATTCTGGAAAACATCCTCCTGAACCCAGCGCATGACGTCTACCTGCTCGTGGGGACCTCCATTTGCTACAAAGTGCAGAAGGTCAGGCAGGGAAAGATTACAGGTAGGTCTGCCCTGGAGATTGGGGGGAGCACTGATGTTCTTCTAAATTATGATGAAAACACCTAACAGAAAGTTGACCACCACAGCTGTTTTTAGTACATAGCCCAGTGGCTTTAAAACCTTGACGTTCTATACAGCCATCACCCCCACCCATCTCTGTACCTTCCTAGCCTCTCAAACTCTGTTCCATGAAACATGAAGTCCCATTTCCCCACCCCAGCCCCTGAGAGCCACCATCCTACTTTATGTCTCCATGAATTTGACTCCTCTAAGGACACTGTATAAGGACAATCATATAATGTTTGTCCTTTTGTGTTCGATTTATTTCATTCAGCATCCTGTCCTCCAGGCCCATCCATGTTGAGGTGTGCAGAATTCCTTTTAAAGTTGGACAATATTCCACTGTATGTCTGAGACTGTACTTTGTTCAGCCACTCATTCATCCGGTGGGCACTTGGGCCCATCCTTTGGCTCTTATGAATGATGCCACTGTACACGGGAATGTGCAAATGCCTGAGTCCCTGCTTCCAATTTTTTGGGGGTCTTTATCCCTTTGGTTTGGGCAACCCAAAAGCCATGGGCTTCCCTTGGGTTTTGGCTGTGATCTGCCGCTGACTGCCAAGCAAACTCAAGCAAGCCACTGCCTCCCTCGGCTCAGTTTCCCATGCAAGCCCTGGAGGCCTTTCTACCAGGCTTCAAGGGCGGCATGGGTTGACAGGAGTGGGGTTGTCTGGAAATTCTAAAGTGCTGAGAATATGGGACATAGAGGGTGAGTGTTCTTCATGGAGTACAGGTCATCCTGAGAATTGTGGCTCTTCCATTCATACTGGCACACGTGTGACAGCAGAGTGCAGGGCACAGCCAGCCTCAGGCACTAGTGTTGCATGTAGGTCTGTCCTCTTGAGGGCTTGGAACATACAGGTAGTGGGTTCCGCATCACGAGAGGCTTATGAAGAGTCTATCAGGGTGGCCCCTCATTTTCACAGTATTTGCGTCTCCAGCGACCAGAGTCACTGCCTGGCCTGGAAGTGAAGGAAGCGGGTCGTGTGTGTGCATTAAGGGACAAGTGGAGGGATTCTCAGTCCTGGCCTTCGTCAGGGTCACCTTCAGGGTCTGTGTGAATGCAGAGCTTCAGCCACACCCCACAGTGTCTCAGGCAGGTCTCAGGTGGCACACACTCAGGGTCCATACTCAGCCTCTGATCTAGGGGCAAATTACTAGAGCAGAACACTGACACTCCAGGATGGAGAGGAGTGTACCACCTCTCTTTCAGAATCCTGAGCAGGACTGTTAATTTTGAAAGACGCCTTAGTTAAAATTCCTTCCTGGGCCTCAACCTGGGTGTTTTCCCTGCAGGGGCTTCTCCAACACCCTCTCTGGCAGGAGGGCAGAGCCAGGCTACACTCAGGGTGACAGTGAGCCGTGGCTGCTTTGGACAGTCTAAAGCCTCAGGAGGAGGGGGAAAGTGACTGGGGTCCTGGAGTGGGAATTTTGTCCCTGCTCTTCACAGCCACAGCCATGTCTTGGCCTGCATTCTGCTGCTGTAACAAAATCCCCACAGCTGCTTACTTTGCAGGGTAAAGAGGTTTATTCAGCTTGCAGCTCTGAGTACCAGGAGCAGTGGCACTGGCTTTTGTTTAGCTTTTGCAGCTTCCTTGGCTACACTGTGGCCTTGTGCCGCCAGCCTGAGAGAGAAGGCGAGATGGCACAGGAGACAGGAAGCCAGAGAGGCTCAGGAACTAGGCCTGTGGCTTTTCTAAAAACCTGCTTTGCCAGTGACCTGACCTCTTCCTCCCTCCAGGCTCCACCTCTTAAAGGGCCAGGACCCCTTATCACTGCACACTGGGGCTGGGCTTCCAGGGCATGAACCACAGCAGACTGTGGCAAAGCTTAGCTTCATTTCCTCTGCCCCACGTCTACAGGGTGGGGTCTGTAGTTCTGTCCCCTGTTGTGGAGTGACGAAATAAGGGGATAAACTTGTGGGACTGGAGGCATCTTCAGTCCTGGTCAACAGATGTCCTTTCTTGTCCTTTTTCTGCTTGTCTGTATCTGTCTGTCCATCTGTCCATCTATCCTTCCTTCCTCTTTCTGTATTTTGTCCTGGGAACGGAACCCAGAGGCTCACACATGCCCTACCCCCAAGCTATACCCCAGCCTCCACATTTGTATCAGAAGTGTTCCACGTTTGTGGGCCAAGGGAGATGCTGTCCTTCACGGAACCCATCATTTCCCGGATAATTGTCCTTCCCAGGACATGTCCGCTGCGGCTTTCCTCCACAAAATGCGTGTGACCTGACACCAGGGATTGCTGAGCATACAGTCAGATCTTTACAGTGATAGACCCAGCTCCCACATTTCAGTGGGTCCATGGACCTTTTTGGGAGCTCAAGAGGGCAGACAGAACCCGAGGGATGCACCCCAGCCCCCAGGATGTGGAGAAATTCCTCATCCTCTTCAGCAGTGACCAGAAACAGTCTAGTGTCAGCATTCTTCAAGTAGTTGGCAATTTCAGGCAGAGGCTGTCGTCAAGTTAAAAAGGAAGAAAGAAAGCAGCTTATGGCAGTGACAAAAAAACTGATTGCTTCTGAAAATTCCTGGTGTGTCAGCTTTGTCCACAGGCATGGAGAATAATATTAAAATGTAAAGCGCTGAGAAATTAAGCCGAAACTGTCGACAGCTGTACTGGCAGGCGGGGCCCGGAGATTGGGGAGCGGGTGGGCACTTGGCACCCGATGGCCCAAGCCTTCACCTCCTCTCCCTCTCTGTTTCTTTTTTGTTTTTCCTGCTTAGAACTCTCGATGCCTTCTGATCAATATGAGTTGCAGCTTCAGAACAACATCCCAGGGCCCCAGGGAGACCCTGCCCAGGCTGTGGCTGTGCTGGCCCAGGACACATCGAAGGTGACCGCCTTGCAGCTGGGACAGAGCAACCTCGTCCTCGGCCATCGGAGTATCCTCTTCCCAGGCAGCCTGTGTCTGCATCGGCACGTCATGTCTGCCGCTTTGAAGTCAAGTTGTTTTTCTCTCCCTGAAAACCAGTCAAGGATAAAAATAGCCCTGTTTTCCCCCAACAGTCTGAAAATCAGAAAGAACTGAAATAGTAGCACCGCTGTGTGGAATTGCTCACCTCTGTGGGTGGCTCGCTAGAGAGAAGCCTGGGAGGGGATGGTAGTGGGGAGCCCACTGTCCTTGCTGCCTGCAGAGACTGCCTAGGGCCTGCAGATCCCTGGAGAGGCTGGCGGGGAGTCAGGGAGCAGACCGTTTCCACACTTCCATGTCTGTTGTTGAGGGCCCAGGGTGGCTTGTGTCCCATACGACCTCTGCTGTCCCTCATGGAGATTCGCTTTGCTAGGGTAGAAATGCAGCAAAGCCTTTGTCTGGAGAGATGATTTGCTCCATTTGGCCTAAGCAGGGGCTGGAAGCAGGTTCCAGTGCCTCTTCTATGCCACGTGGTCATTGAGTCATTGAGCCAAGCTGGAGCCACTAGCTGGATTACTTGATGTCTTGAGCCAAGCTGGAGCCACTAGCTGGATTACTTGATGTCTTGTGTTCTGTTCCTTAATGAAGAACTCAGGTATCCGCATGCAGGGTGCCTCTAGATTGCCCAACAGCACTATTTATGTGGTTGAGCCCGGGTACCTAGGTGAGTATCCTGAGGCCTCTTGGATGTTGCTTGGTTGTGATTACAGAAATTGAAGACGTTAAAAAGCCAAAAACAAGGGCTGGGGTCAGAGCAGTGCAGTAGAGCACCCACCTAGCAAGCCTGAGGCCCTGGGTTTGATCCTTTGCACTAAATGAAAAAGATGAGAAAAACTGACAGCTCTCAATCCTGACCATTTCTGCGTCAGGCAGGTGGAGAACAGGAAGAGCAGTGGAGGAAGGAGAGGTGTGAGAGAAAGAAAGAGGAATCTGTGGCAGTGACCACCCTGAGAGGCACAACCAGGCCTGGAAGCTGCTGTGATGGATAGTAGCTTGAGACTTTGTGGGCACCTGTGTCATCCAGAGTTACCATGGCAACTCTTCCTTTCTCACACTGAGGCCCACACTGAAGCTATTTAGTCGAGAGAATCTGACACGTAGCAAACTCCCTTGGTCCTCTTGTTCACCAGAATGTGAAGGGCAGACCTGAATGGCAAGGTAGTAACACCAAGAAAGGTGGCCACTGCTTCTCTGGAGCTCCATTGGCTCAGACATGTTCCTAAGTGCCTTCTGTGTGCCTGGGAAGGGCTGGAGCTCAGAAGCCATAAGACAGAGTGCTGGACTTGGGTTCATGGAGAGAGACTGGTGCATGAGGGGTGCAACAGGGCAGAGGTAGGGAGTTAGTAATGTGTGCACAGAGGAAGACTTTAGGGATTTATGGGAGGCCAGCATCATCTTGGATGGGGCTTCTGTTGTGGCCTCAGAACCTAGACGTGCTGTGGCCTAGGCTAGGCCTGCTACGCTGTGGCCTGAGAGCCGAGACTCACCTTGGGCTTAGAGTCGAGGCCTGTGCATGCCTCAGCCACTACACTGGTTGGGCCCCAGGCAAGGTATGTGCTTCTTGCAGTCATCTCAGACTAGACCTTGTTTCACATGCTCTAGACATTAGTACTGTTCAGGCTGGACCTGCTGTGACCTCTGACTGTACTGGTCATGAGAAAAACCTGCCTGAGCAAGACCTGCCCCAGCTTACATTGGCCATGACCCCAGCCTACAGCCTCTTGGTCTCAACCCTAAACTCTCCATGGTTCCCCATGAGATTTGGGATTCTGGACCTGCCATGGTCTTGGACTTGAGTGCTTTAGTCTCACGACCTAGACTGTCACTGCCACAGGTCCAAACCTGTCTATCTAAAGAGCCCAGAGCTACTTTGACCTCAGCAAGAACTTCCATGGACCCAGACAGGATACACAGTCTCAGAGCCTCAGTTGACTATGGTCTCAGGCTCAACGTTTTATAGATGCTGCATCTAGACTTCAGTAAGGTTCATCCGCTATGATCCCAGAGCCTAGATCTGCTTTTAGCACCAGTCTGCAGTTGCCATTGCTCCAGGTAACATCGGCCATGGCCTTAAACCTAGACCTGCATGGCCTCCAGATAGACCTGCTGTCCCCTTAGAGCCTGGCTGACCTCAGGACTTTGACCAGCTATGGCTACAGAGTAGAGCCATGGAGGCCTGCACCTGCACCTGCTGTCTACATTTGTCCTGGCTCAGGATATGGCATGGCCTCAGGATGGACCTTCTTGTTTGTCCCAGGGTGTACCTGCTGTGGCCTCAGAGTCTAGACATCTGTGAGCTGTGAAAAACTTGGTGTGGCCTCAGACAAGACCTGCTGTGGCTAGACAGTCTTGATATGCTGAGTTCTGGATTCTGGTCTGAGGAACCCTGTGCAGTCTGCGTGAGATGCATTCACTGTTGGTCCTGGGAACCAGCCAGCTTAGGACTCATAATTAATGTAGCCCCCCTCTGCACAGCCAGTCCTTCTCCAAGTAGGAGCCAGTGAAGACTTGGGGATTCCATACCCAATGCTTGATCTTCTCTCCCTTTTGCCTGTTGTAGGATTCACAGTCCAGCCTGGTGACAGGTGGGTGCTTGAGACTGGCCGCCTGTATATCATCACCGTCGAAGTATTTGACAAGTCCAGCAACAAGGTCCACCTGTCTGATGTGAGTACCTGGCCAACTGGTGAAGCGGGTTCATATTCTAGAGCAAATGTCCAAAGAACATCCCCAAAGCAACAGGGGTATCCACACAGGAAGACCGAGAAGGGATCTTCTATTCCCTACTGGCACCCCTGGGTCTGTGAGACACTATCATGGGGCCCTGGAGAACCTCAGACCCTTTGAACCTCTGAGTCTGCAAAGATGGAGACAGTGTGCCCACCTATGCTCTGTCCTCTGAGCGCAAAGGTCTCAGAGCTGAATCTATTGCCTTCTGACTGCAGGTCAGGAATTCCTCTAATCCTTCCAGAGCTCCTGAAAGGCTCCTGACTGGGCCCATTTCAGTTAGCTTCTTGGCTCTCTGGTGGCATGCCAGATGAGGGTACGGTCACTGAGAGACCTTCTCAGTGTCATCAGAACATCTAGATGGAGTTAGAGGTTTTGTAAGGGTACCAAATTCCTCTTGGGGCTTCTTTGTTAATCAGACTGGACATTCACTGTTTTTGCTTGAAGTTTGTGCTTAAGGATTTAATTTTTTTTTTTTTTGATGATGTGATGGTTCCTGGATGAGACCTCAGGGCTTAGAGAAGCTAACTATAGGCTGCAAACTGCCCTGAGCACCACACAGTTTTCTGGCACTGGAGCAGTGTGATTGGCCCATGCAGAAAAGGGAGCTAGGGAAGGTCAGAGGCTGGGGCTTTGGTCTGGAGTTGCTTCCAGCCTCTCTGGTGGCTTTTGGAGACTGAGCCCTGTGACCTCACCTGGCTACCACTTTGGGATCCTGGAGCTGCTTTCCTGAAGTCATCTTTCCCTGAGTTTTCCCAGAAGCACCACTCACCCATGCTTTTTGCCTTCCAGAACATCCGGATTGAGACTGAGATTCCTGCTGAGTTCTTTGAGGTTCTCTCATCTTCCCAGAATGGGTCACACCATTATGTGAGGGCAATTCAGAGGGGTCAGACGACTATCAGTGCAGCCCTCACCTCTGTGGTGGACCAGGCAAGTTGGTGCCTCCTGCTTTCTATGCCCAGCTCCCCCACTCTGCTGCTCTCTAGGTGCTGGGGAGGCCTCTCCCTTTCTAGGCTCAGGCTCTGGCTGCCTTGGCTGTCCAGAGCCAGGCACCTGGATGTCTCCCTATTTCACCCTTCCTTCCCTCTCCTTGCCTCTATGAAAGGATCTGTGCCTTGCAGAACTGGGATGGTATGTTTGTTCTGGGAGACAGTGCTGGGCCCAGTTGGGCTCCAGCCCAGACCACAGGTATTTCTCTGTCCGTTTTGTCTGCCTTGGTCCTGCAGAGTCTTTTTTTCTTCTGTGCTTAAAATACTGCTAGGTTTTAGGTAGGAATGGTGCTTTACCAATTGGCACATTGGCACAGATGTGCCCCTTTTTATGCCCCACACAAATCCTTTGCAGACCTGGAAGAGCACAGGGTAGCACACAGGGCTGAAAAGGAGTGGCCCATGTCCTGTAATGCCTCAATTTCTTGCCCCTGGGGGTTAGAACAAAGAGCTCCAAGCCTCCATCTCTCCTTCTGTAGAGTGGGAACAGTCAAATCCCTCCTAGCATGAGTGCCCTAAGGACTTGGTCTAATATCATTTACGTAAGTGACCCTTATAGAGCTTCAGACAGCCGTCCCAGGGGAGCCCAAGGAGGCTACAGGCTGTCATTTTCTTTACCTGACTCCCACCAGCACAGAATCTATTGATCCCCAGGGAGGGGTAGGGTCTAGGAGGATCTGTCAATGACCTGGTTGTCATGGTGACATGCACCTCTCACCCTTTGTAGGATGGCGGGGTTCATGTGCTACATGTGCCAGTTTGGAACCAGCAGGAGGTGGACATTCACATCCCCATCACCCTCTACCCCAACATCTTGACATTTCCTTGGCAACCGAAGACGGGCGCCTATCAGTACACAATAAAGGTAACAGAGACCTCACTGAATGCTTTCCTTGGGGTGTTTCCAGGGATCTGTGGCTTTTCATCCATCCTGTGACTTCCAGCATCACCCTCTAGTGGACAGAGGCAATTTTAAATCAGAGCCTTTATGACTGCTGTGTTCTCTGAGATTTCCACCACAGCAATGTATTTAGTGCATAGCGGGGAAAAAACCCAATAACTGAAACAGAAAAGAAAGTACTATGGAGAAATGTGGGATAGATTTGAGTTCCATTTAATCATTTTAATGAAAAAGTACCACTTTTAAAAGCTCTGTGAATACACTTGGAGAACAATGTGAAATTCAAGGAGAAAACGTCTGTGGCCATGTCACATGGTATCACCATTGATATTCATGTTCCCCTGTGGCCTTAACCAGCAGAGTCTGCCCTAAGATGAGACTTGATCCTGGATCAGTCAGGCCTCCATCACTGCTGCAGTCTAGGGGAGTGACAGGTGTCCTGCGTGTGCACTGGCACCTTGCTCTCTGAAACATAGTGTGTCACACTCTTGTTCTCTGGGGCTTGGCGTTGTGACTTCTGACCTGGGATGATTGGGAGCAGGCAAGCTGTGTGTCGGGAGGAGCCTGTATCTGGTCACTGAAACACCATTCCGTAGGTGGCTTCATGGCCACAGCTGGTTCCTACTGCTGCCTGGGTTCCAGGAGCTGCCACCAGGTCCTGGGACCCCTGTCGTGGCACATATTGTGTATGTCAGGCACATGGGCCTCAGAATATGCAGACTGGAAGTGAGACAGAGGAAGCAAGGGCCAAGAGGAGCCATCAATAGATCCAACATGATGGTACCCATGAAAAGGACCCCTCCTCTGAGTGTATGGATGTGCGGGCATGTCTGTGGATGTATGTTAGAGTGTGTACTCACACACAGGTGAGTGATGCATGGCTGTGTGTCATGGGTTATAAGAGTGACTGATCTGAATGAATGCTGAATGTGTGTTGGGTGGCTACTGAGTGTGAACATGTGTGAATGTGTCAGTGCTTGAGTGTGTGAGCATGGACCAATGAATGTGAGTATGAATGGATGAATGCTAGTGTGGTCATGAGGATGATGTATGAGCCCGGGACTGAGTAGGTAACTTGGGTGGTAGGCATCCCAGTGTGATGGTAAGTGTATGGGAGTGTACATGTGCACCCTTGTCCTCGACCCTCATGCCTCCCCATACAGGGGAGGACAGAGGGCTGGTGAGTCCATGGTGATTTTTGTCTCTAGGCCGATGGGGGCAGTGGGAACTTCAGCTGGTCGTCCTCAAGCTCCATGGTGGCCACAGTTACTGTCAAGGGTGTGATGACCACAGGCAGTGACATCGGACTCAGTGTGATCCAGGCACATGACGTCCAGAACCCACTACATTTCGGTGAGATGAAGGTGAGACCCTCTGGGCCAGGACAGCCCATGGAGAGCTTGGGGTTGGGGTGTCATTGCCACCCATTTAGCCACCATCCTTGGTCAGGTTGGACACAGGAAGGTTTGGTGCTCAGCTCCAGCCCTGTCCTTAGGAGCTCACACCCAAGCAGGGAGGGGGAGACAGCACACCAAGGAGACAGTGACAGGACCACAGGGCCAGCTATCTCAGAGCCAGGCATTCTGGATGGGGGACCAAAGGTCACAGAGGGTAGAGGACGACAAGAGACAACCATGCCCAAAAGATACAAATCTCAAGTGGGACGACCTTGAGGGATGAGTTGTAAATTTCCAAAGAAGAGGATCCTGGGGCTCCCTGAGACAGCTGGGACTCCATCCTCCTTCAGAGGCAACATCAGGGCTGCCTCTCACAGGTGCGGTCCCTGGTTCTGATGCTGAGTGATGTGGTAAGGGTAGGTGGGGCTGTTGCCTGCAGCTGAGCCCCAGCCAGCACCACTGACACTGTTCTGGGTGCCCCTTTATGGCCTCATTGATGGCAGAGGTGGAAGCACCGTGGAACCAGTCACAAGCACCTCTTACATAATTTGGACAGACACTGAGGGTCTTGCATTTAGATGCACACATCTCTACTAGAGATAGGTCTGATTCTCTCTGATTCTGACACATTTCAAACAGGTCCTTTGGAGAAGCATGCCTACCCAGTACTGGTGCCCACTGGGATCACCTTGCCCTGGCCCTGTCTTCCTCCTGGGAAATGTGCCACCTTTTATCCATCCTCTCATAGTTAGAGCACAGCTTCTGGGCCAGACTGGGAGTCCCACCTGGCTGTCCTCTGTTCTTGGGCTGCTGCACTTACCCTTGAGTAGGGTCCTCAGCAGGAAAGTGAAGTGATGGTGGGTTGCCTATCTTCTAGGCAGGCAAGAGGGCCCAGGGTGAGTGCCGCCTTCAGAAGAGAACCTGCAGTGTGTGGGGTTGGTTTTCCAGAAAAATAAACTGTTGATGTCTCTCTCCCCATCCCCAACCACATGACCAATGCTATCCTTGGCTGGACATTCAGAAACTGTCTCGGTTCACACATGCCCCATGCCTATCACCAGCATCTCTCTGAGACACCCTAACAAACACAACTCCCTCACTGCCCTGCGCACCAGGCTGCTGGTTGTAACACAGAGAGGAGAGTGAGGGCACTCTCTGAAGTCCTCCAGCACACCTACTCTGAATACCAGGGTCCTGCAAGCGCTGACCTCTGCCTCTCAGACTTCTACCCTGTCTGTGCCACAGGACCGACTCACAGCCAGATGTTGCCTGGTGGCCTGGCTCTGAGGTCTGAGCTCCCCTTTCACCTCCTCCATCTTCTGGTTTCCTGAGTCCCCCCACACCCAGCCCAGACCACTTCCTAACATGTCCCAGCTGCCTTGTCCAAGGCAGTGCTCAGATACCCTCAGGACCCAGGTTTACTCCTCCTTTGGAGGCTGATGGACCTGGGCCACATGCTGTCCTCCAGGTATACGTGATTGAGCCCAGCAGCATGGAGTTCACCCCATGCCAGGTGGAGGTGCGAGTGGGCCAGACCCTGGAGCTGCCTCTGAGGATCAATGGCCTCATGCCCGGCGGAACAAATGAGGTGGTCACCCTGAGCGACTGCTCCCACTTTGACTTGGCAGTGGAGGTGCAGAACCAGGGCATGTTCCAGCCACTCCCAGGTAAACCCACACCACTGAGTGAACCGCAGACAGAGTCATAGGGAACAAATTGCCCAGGTTCTCAGTGAAGGCCACCCAGGTTCCCAGAAAGGGCTTAGGCCCACAGATGGGCCACAGTTCAAGGGGTGGCATTTGTTCCCCTGACCTCCTTCCTCAGCCCAGGTCTGGTCTGAATCTTGCCTGCTGTGTGATCTTCAGCAAATCATCCACCATTGTGGGCCTCAGTTTCCACATCTAGGCACAACTCTGAGGAAGGGGCTATACCAGGTTCCCACTTAAGCAAAAGCAATTTATAGAAATGAAAGAAAATGTCTGTGAAGTGTCTACCTGACAAGGACGCTTATGCTTTGAGCATATAAAGAACTCATGCATGTCCACAGCAATAAAACAGCACTAAGGAGTAAGGGGCTTGAGGAGGCATGTCTCCAAACAGCCAACCAACCTGTGAAAAGATGCCCCAGACTGCTAATTATCAGAGAAAAGCAAATGAAAATCACAACAAAAAACCGTGCCCTTTAGAACGTCTACTATCAAAACAACAGAAAATAACCTTTGTTGGTGAGATGCAGAGAAACTAGACCAGTTGTATGCTATTAGAGGGAATAATAAAAGGGGCAGATGCTGTGTAGAACAGTATGGTGGTTCCTGGAAAAAATTAAGAGTAGGATTATGTACCTTGTGACCCAGAAATCCCACTTCTGGGTGTATTCGCAGAGGCATTGAAGTGCAGCCTTGAGGAGGGGTTTGGAAACTCGTCTCACAACAGCGGCTTTACAACTGCCATAAGGTGGACGCAGCCCACCTGTCCATCAGCAGATGAGTGGATAAACAGAATGTAGTGCTTGTGTACCTAGACTGGGGAGTACGGGTCAGCCTTACTGAGGGGAAATTTGGACCTGCTACTACGTCAGTAAAGCTTGAGAGCATTACACTAAGTGACATAAGTCAACCACCAATAACATATGACTCCCATGAGGCACTAAAAGTAGTCGAATTCAGGAGACAGGAAGTAGAATGCAGGGAGGGGCCAGTCCAGGGCCTGGGGGTAGGAAGAATTGGCCAGTTACTGTCTCACGGCTTTAGTGTTTGCTCAGAAAACTGAAAAGCCTTGCATGATACGTGGTTCCAGTGGTCATGCAACTGTGTGACTGTATGGTGTGCTGCTGAGCTGTACACTTCAAAAATGTTAAGGTCTGTATATTTTATCAAAATTAAAATAAATACACTTTAAAAATTGAAAATTGATAGAATGTAATGGCAGGGATGCAGGGCACTTGCTAGAAACAATACAAATTGATGCTATTTTGGGGAAGATAGTTGGCAAGGACGACTAGAGCTAAGCATAGACAGGACCCATGGCCTAGTGGTCCCCCTCTGGGGTACACACAGCAGAAATACTAGACAAAACAAAGGCTCTCAGATGTCGTCATCTGTGCCATGTTACACAGCCACACTGAAATCCGCTTAGGTAATGCCAGTTTCCTGAAGAATGGGTGGCTGCCCACTCCTACAGCAGAGGAACCATGTGTGTGTGGATGATGTGCAGTGTGCAGACAGCAAGGACCTCATGAGAGTCTGAGTTAAGGACAGAAAAACAAGTGCTTAGTGACCCCACTAAGTAACCCGTGGGAACAGCGTGATTAGGCTGTCCTGGGAGAAGGCAGCGGAGGGCTTGGAGGTCAGGCTCTGCTGCAGCTTCTGGGACTGTTGGTGACATTTTCCTCTGTGACCCAGGTCTGGAGTGATCCTGGGTGTGTTGAATGTGTATGTGGAGGACACTGTGATGTGTGCACTAATGATAAGTGTACATTTTAGTATGGGACTCACAGTTGATTGGTTGATTGTGTGTAGGGTTGGACCTAGGCTGTGCATGCTGGATAAGCACTGTACAGTTTAGTTGAACCCCACCCCCTGGAATTTCTAAGTCAGAACAGAATCTGATTGTGTGTGAAGCCCAGAGTAAGAATGGGCCACTCCTCCCCTCAGGGCGGCTGCCACCAGGGTCTGACCACTGTAGTGGTGTCAAAGTAAGGGCCGAGGCCCAGGGATCTACCACACTCCTCGTGAGCTACACACATGGCCACATCCACCTGAGTGCCAGAATCACGATCGCTGCCTACTTGCCCCTCAAGGTGAGCCAAGGCCCTGCCCTCTGCCACCTTTCTCTGCTTTGGGTTCCTGGGCATGGAATGTCTGTCCCACAGACCCCTAACCCCAAGCCAGAAGAGAGCCCAGCCGGGCCCAGCCCTCCCTGTCCCGGGAATGTGAACCTCCCCCCTTCTCCAGGCTGTGGATCCCTCCCCTGTTGCCGTGGTAACCCTGGGCTCCTCAAAAGAGATGCTGTTGGAAGGAGGCCCCAGGCCCTGGGTCCTGGAGCCCTCCAAGTTTTTCCGAAACATCACCTCTGAGGACATGGACAGCATCAGCATGGTTCTCTTGGGTCCCCCTGCCTCCCGCAATTACCAACAGCATCGGATCCTTGTGACCTGTCAGGCCTTTGGTGAGCAGGTGAGTGGGCAGCCAAACACACACTATGGTCTCTAATCCTTAGGAAACCTGAGAATGCCCCTCTAGTCATATCCATGTTACAAGTAGACTAAGGCTGGTTGCTACAGGCTGAATGAGTCAACAGCAAGCAGTGAGTAAGACACAGTGGTTGCAATGGTCCCTCTCCAAAGACTCTAGCTTCCATAGACACAGCCCGTTGGAATGGCTTCCCTGCTTGAGGTTGCAGAATTCTCCCCCACCAGACCGGGGGTTAGGGGTTTGAGATCAGGGTCTCAAGTTACACAGGAGTGTGTGACCTGAGGCTCCCATTTAAGTGTGTGCTAGAAAGCCTGATGTTTCTGCATGTGGAATCTTTTTTTATTATTGTTGTTTTTGTTTTAATGCTGAGATGGCTCAATGAATTGAACCAGTTGCATCTGTGAGTCCCTGCAGAGCTTGTCTAGCTGGGTGGTGTGGCAGCTGGCTGTGCAGGTCCCTGGGTGCCTGCTTCCCAGGTCCACTGTTCAGCTCCAAGTACTCCCAAAGCAGGAGGAAACTGGAAGTCGAGTGAGGTGGGACAGTACTCGCTCCGAGGGAAAATGAAGACTACCCAGGCTTGTCTAATAATGCAGAGAACACAAAGTTAGCTAAAAGGCACACAGGCACAGCACACTCGGTGCATACCAAGACTGCACCAGTATGACCAGAAAAGTATGTGGAGAAAAGACCTCATGTCCACTGGATCATTAGAAAAAAATCCATAACAGTAAATGCATAACAACCACAGTAACAAGAATAAAGCTAATGATGGATTAGAGAAATGGCATGTTCCAGCCTGACTGGGCTATCCTGGTTCCCCAGAAAAGGCCGCTTGAGGCTCCCTGTTCCCTGGCGCTGAGCTCCCTGGACATCAGGGCAGAAGGAAAGGTAGACGACAATCAGTTTGGAAAGATGGAGAAGGTCGTTGGCCCAGTTTGCATTGTGCAGCATGTGTGCATTACTGGAGAGGGAGCTAGACTTGGTGGCAGAAGCCCCAGCATTAGCTGCAACCACCCTTTCTCCTGACACCTCTCCCCACCCCAGCCCTGTAGCAGCCCTGAGCTTCTATCTGAGCTGAGCCTCTGGGCCCTCCAATGCTTTCTCCACAGACCCTTTTCTGGCCTCTCCTTAGATTCTGGGTCCCCATCTGCAGCATGCATGTTCCCACAAGTGCACTTGATTGTGATGACCCAAGTCAAGGTGGCTCCCTCATTTAAGCATCCAGGAAGTCCAAGTCTGCTGATGTAACCACAGGGTTTCCCTGAGGTCCTGGAAAAACGGAAAGTGAGCCTCAATTTACCCATTTTCTTTGCTGTTTGAATGGGACCCTGCTGTTCTGAGAAAGTGCTCTTCCACCACACCCCTGGGCTTTGTCAGCCTCCTTAGGGGCTGGGGACAGGGTCACACCCATCAGACAGCAAAGAAAAGAGGCTCAGCTCAGAGAGCAGTGGGAACTCACATGGGGGAATCTACCTGGTCCCTCTGCTCCCAGGTTATCGCCCTCTCGGTGGGGAACAAGCCCAGCATCACCAACCCCTTTCCTGCGGTGGAGCCCACTGTGGTGAAGTTCATCTGTGCCCCACCATCCAGACTCACCCTCACGCCCATCTACACCAGCCCCCAGCTGGACCTGTCCTGTCCCTTGCTGCAGCAGAACAAGCAGGTGGTGAGTGCAGGAGGCTCTGGGGAGGGAGATGACGTAACCACCTGACTGGACAGGGGGACCTGTCCAATCCAGCCACCAGTCAGCTCATCCCACATCTTGAGTGTTGTGATGGCTGTAATTCTGTGCTGTGGTGCCCAGATCTCACAGCCAGCCCTGCCAGCCTTGCCTGGGAGGTCCAGGGCCTGGAGAGATGGGTGACTCACCAAGGTGTAGCTGCCGAAGACAGTGTCCAACTTACAGTGATGTAACATGATTTATCCACTTCCCAGTGGTTTGAAAGTGTTAGGCGTTGGTTAGAAGCCACTCTTGGAATTTTGGCAAGGGTGGGTACTGGAAATCAGACTTGGGACCTCACACTTGCCAGGCAGGCGCTGTGCCACTGAGCTAAATTCCTGGTCCTCACCCTTGGAATTTTGAATTTGGATCTTGTCCTGCACTGGTGATGGGGGGTCCCTTTGTCCCTTGGTGCTGGTCAGTGGCAAAGAGCTGAGGCCCCCACCCTGCTCCTTACCCACCAGGGAAATACCCGGTACTCTGCCTGGTGCTGTGTTATATAGGTTGCATGCCATTTTCAGCCTTTAAGTATGAAAGCATTATTGGGTTAGGCCTAGTGCCAGGTTCTGAGCACATTTTAGGTGGGCTATGATGCTCAGTAAGTCAGGAGAATGACCTGTGTTTTCAGTTTAAGATGTGTCCCTCCTATGATGGGTTTATCATCCTAAATCCAAGAGCATCCTCCAGTGTGTGTGGCATTAGGAACGCAGTCCTCTCTGGTTCCAGACTTGCTGGCCCTAAAATCTCTGGTGTCCTTTGTGAGCTGAGAGTGCTTATGGAGGTGGGGGCAATCTGTCTACAGAGCATGTGTGATCAGAGTCGGAGTGGGGACAGCCAAGAAGAGGTGACAGCTGCAGCATTGTCTGGGGAGGTGGGGAAAGGGACTGTTTCTACAATGGATGCTGAGAGGGGACAAAGTCACTGGGATCAGGCTGACAGCATGAATGGGATGCAAAATCCACATAGGATCCCTGGGACTTGGGATCCAGCCAGTCCTCAGTCCCCGCATTCAGAGTCCAAGGTCTTGGGGTTGGGACTGGCTCCAGGCCTCACCAGCCCCCAGCCTTCTCAGAGGCCGGGGCTAGCTTTCCTCCCTTCGACCTACCCTCATGCCGCAGCTGCTTTGTGCCAGACAGCTCTTACTTCTGGAATACAGAGTGATTGGGACAGCAAGCAGCCTGCCTGAGAAGCTGACAGGGAGATGGGGGATCTGGAGATGGGAGGTGGCAAGGGCTGCCAGGGAATGGAGACAGGTACAGGGTGGTAGGAGAGGCTTCTGCAGGAGCGACTGGGCTGGGGGGGGGAGCCAGCCTAGCAGAGCCTCCCAGCAGGGAGATTCGAGGCACCAGGGCAGAGAAAGACAGATACAGTACCTAGAGCAACTCCGTGCTGGAGCATTGGCCTTGCTGCCGCATTTCCTCTTTGTTGTGACCATCATGGAGACCTGGGTCCTGGGCATCTCCCCTCAGGTTTGCTCTAGGGCTTGGAGTGAGCAGCTTCGAAAGGTAGGGGACGCAGATCTGAGGGCTCCACATGAAGCACCTCCAAGGTGACCCCTGGGCCTCGTGTTTTGCTGCAGCCCCGAGGGTGGGACCCATTCCTAGGCTCCCGCACACAGGACTGAACTGATCCCAGACCTCTTGGGCACAGGCAAAGAGAGCTGTGGGTGCTGGGTGCCAGGTAGGTGAATAAGGACAGCTTTCTTTGCCTTTCTTCCAAACATGTCTTTGAAGCTCGGTGTTCTGCAGGCTTTGGAAAGAAACAGCCTCCTGCTCACCTGCTGGAGTTTCAGCTCTCCTCCTCCTGCTTCCCTGCTCTGACATAGATCAGTGCTCTCCAGCTTTCCAGATCCTTTGGATCCAAAACATGAAACCCCTCAGCTTGGTGCCTGGACTACTCCACCCACCCCCATGCTGGTCCCTTCAGGGTCCCTTAGCAAGAACTCTTGGTGTCCGCTCCCAGTGGGGACAGTGTAGGACCTGCACCTCTGTTCCCCCTTAATAGAGGAATAGAACTGAGGCCCAGCGACTGGGGCCCTGAAGTGCTAGTATCCGCCCAGGTGTTTGGGGTGTGAAGGAACATCCTTAGCCCCAGATTGGTGCACTCAGGGAGAGGCTTTCCTTTCCTGACATATGGCTCTAATGAGGTGAGACTCTTGAATAACTTCCATTTTCAATACCTTAATTTTTTTTTACTGATGTATAATAATTGTATGAAGTCATGGGCTGCAGCATGATATTAATTCAGTACTTGTCTACAGTGTGTAACGATGGAATTCAGAAATGAATATTTCACTTCTACTTAAGCACTTAGCATTTCTTTGATTTGGAGCGGTGCATCCGTCTCTTACAGTTCTCTTTGTTGTGAATGCCAGTCACCCGACTATGCTGTAGGACAGAACTGTCTATTTTTTGGTGCCTCTTATCTACCCTCACCCCTCTCTAACCTCTTGTGAGCTGTATGCCGCTGTCTTTCTATGAAGCTGATTAGAGATGAGAGCATTCATTTTCTCATGATCTGCTTATCCTAAGACTTTGCATTTTAACTCACTTTTCCATAAGGAGCAACTTCTTCCCAGGGGAAGGAATAGAATTCGTTCAGTCTGGACTGTGGGAACACCCAGCTTGCTGGGTTCCTTGGCTACGGAGTCCATGAGAACAGCCCCCAGGTGGGACACATTCGAAACCTTCTGCCTGTGTCCATCCTGTTGGTTGTGGGATTCCCTTTGAGTAATGGCAATGGTAACCCATGATCAGGAGTTGTTGTAGGGAACAGATGTGACCAGAGTGTCAACCATTGTACCTTTTGTCTTCTCTGCTCAAGACTTACCCATGGCTCCCCATTCATCCCATTAAAATCTGAAGCTTCATAGTCTGTGACGCACAGGCTATTTCCCAGCCTCTCCTAGTGTACTGTGCCCATTCCGGGAACATGTCATGCAGGTCTTACCGAGCTGGGGCTGACTGCTCCCTAAGACTTGCACGCCCCCCCCCCATTCTCTGGCCCCATGCTGTCTCCCTGCCTTCCTCTTCTTTCTGCCTTCTTGTTAGAGCTCTCTTCCACTTTCATTTTAAGTACAGGTTCACCCCCTCAGCCTGCCCTATGCTGGTTCCCTCTTCTCCACCCTAGCATTCTCTGTGACCTAAGTGGCAGGACCTGCTTACAAGCCCTGCTCCCTGCTGGTCCCTGGAACAGACTCTGACCCTGGCACATGGTCAGAACCCCAAGGGCACAGTGTGTCCCTTGATCTCTCTCGTCAGCTCCCTTGCCTCACCAGGCTCCAGTGCCTGGAAAGCCTGAGGGGGGACACTGCTGCAGGAAGGAACTGCATCATGGGTGGCACTGGCTGGAAGTGCAGGTGCCCCCTCAGAACAGGAAGCCAGTGCTGCTCAGTGACAGCAAGAAAAAAGCCTAATGAGAGCACAGCCACATTCCAGCTGGGTTTTGCCTGAACTCTCTGCCAGCAAGACCTGTGGTTTAGCCTACGATCCTTCTCTGAGGCTTGCGGGTGATGGTCTGGCTGCAGCGCTCTCATGGGCTCAGTGTGTCTTCAGTGTCACTAGGAAATAATGGCTCTTGGACATGGAGTTGCCATGTGACCCATTAGTCCTCGGGCTTGCCAGCCATTCAGGCATGGTCCCTGTGATTTACAGTCTCATTAAGGGACCTTGGGGAAGATATATCCCTGCCACATGTCACAGGTACAGGATCAGTTTAATTTTACAGCTGTCCAAATCCAGAGGCCACTCAAGACGTGTTTGCAGAGTAAATTATTGGCAAGATAAGACTCCAGGTTGGGCCGACTGGTAAGGATGACAAAGTGGCACTCCAGCCTCCTCTTATCCTCCAGGGAGGTCATCCATTGTTTGAGGCACTGTGGCTGGGTATCTGTCATGTGCCAGGAGACAGAGCAGCCAATGCCCAATGCAGGCACCAAAGAAAAGCTGCAGTGTCAAGCAAGGACTTTGGGTTTTATAGTCAGACTGTTAAGTCCTACCTTGTGACCCGAGTGACCTTCAGCAAGATGTTGACTCCCATGAGGCTCACCTGCCCTTTTATTAAACGGAGGTAATAATGTCACCTCCAGTGGCCTTTCCCAGAGGGTCAGCCAGCTTGTGAATGTGCTTGGTGCCGTGTTGATGACCTTCTCTTGGAAGAGCATTGATTTTTCTACTGAGGGTTCCATCTGGAAGAAGTGGGATGTGTATGACGGGTCTTGCAGCCCCTTATACCTACACTCACAGCTCCCCAGTTTGTGCCTTGGGGGTGGGGGTCACAAAGCCCTTGGTGCATGTAGAGATGACACTGACCTGCTGTTAGGAATGCTGCCTTTGGGATTTAAAGCATGCTGAGCTCAGGGATTGTCAGGGGCTAGGCAGTTTGAGGGATGGGAAGGCACTCATAGAGGTGGATGTTGGGGGACCCTGTCCATCAGGATGGAACAGGCCATGCTGCAGTAGCGAACGGCACTCCCCTGACCAAATGGCTAGGGTTAACACAAGCTCATTTTGTGATCACACACATCTGTGCCTCTCAAATTGGACCTGGTACCCTGCTGTGTGTCACTATTATCATTGTCCTAAACCAAGGCTGTGGGGCTGAGGATATAGTGCAGTGGCACAGCGCCTGCCTGGCAAGCCCAAGGTTGTGAGTTCAATTTCCAGTACTAAATAAATAAGTATATAAATAAATTGAAAAAAATAATAGAAAAATAAATAAATAAATCAAGGCTGTAGAGTGGCCACCAGGAGCCACCGAGGAGCAAAGCAGCACAGCAGATGAAGTTGTGACATTACTGCCTCCCCTGGCATTGTCACAAGTCATTTGTCACAATTTACTGTCTGGAATCACACGGTCACCCCAAGGCTCAGAGAGGACAGTACCCCCATTAGAACTGCTCTGCAACAGAATTAGGGCACTTTGAAGTATGCTCACAGCGGCTTCCTTCCCCTCGCATGGTGATTGTGGTGCCCCATTTCTGAAATGACCCTCAGCACTTGCATCTAAAGCAACGTCAGGAGGTGGCCTCTGTGTGGTCCCTCTGTTTCTGCTCAGTGTCTGAACCTTTTGGAGCAGGAAGTACAGCTGGGTCAGATGCTTTCTCTGCAGTGTAGTGACCACACTCCTGCCTCCCCAGGGTACTTCAGGATCAGCTGAGAAGTTGACTGTGAAGGTTTCTTTGCAAACTAGGGACTCCAAGATGTCTTAGGTGTTGGCACTGGCATTTGCATTAGATTGCAGGGGGGCACCTTGTGGTAGCACTGAAGTGTGCATTGGTATGGTGGGTGGCAAGAGTTGGGAGTGGTGGGGACAGAAGCTGGAGAGCAGACTGGCTGGGGTGGGAGGTCCCGCGCTGGTGTGTTCTCTTTTGTGCAGAGCCTTCCTATGTGTTGTAGGTTATCTAGCAGCATTGCTGATCTCTTCTAAATGCCAGTTGCACTGCCCGTTCCCCAAATGTGACACAAAATTGCCTCCAGACTTTGCCAGAGACCTTCATGCTACTCAGAACTGAAGCCTGGAGCCAGAGGTTGGATTGGGCAGCCTTGGTGTCCTCGGTGTACCTTGGTGACCAGAAGCAGAGAAAATTGGTTTGGGACACATCCCCTTCCCTCACCAGGACCCACTGAGCTCTGGCTGTAGCCCCAGCCTCTGACCTTCACCTTTGTAGGTTCCAGTCTCCAGCCACCGCAACCCTTTGCTGGACCTGGCTGCCTATGACCATCAGGGCCGCCAGTTTGACAATTTCAGCTCTCTGAGTATCCAGTGGGAGTCTGCCCGGCCGTCACTGGCCAGCATCGAGCAGGACCTGCCACTGCAGCTGGTGTTCCAGGATGATGGAAGTGGTCAGAAGAAGTTACATGGTGAGCTGGGGTCTGGAGCCTCAGGTTTGGGGGAGGAAGATAGGAGACCAGTAGAGCCCAAATGGACACATGTCCCAAGGCAGATAGTTACTGTTAGAGCCCCAGCTACATGTGCCTCCCATCATTCAGAAGGATAACTCAGCAGGTAGCGTGAGCTTGCTTCCCTCCTTTCATCCTGCATTGTGTGAGGCAGATTTTGGAGCAGGAAGTCTTCACTCCTGGGTTACGGAGCAGGTTCAACCTAGCCCCAGCCGCTAGACCTGTGCCCTACCTCTCTTAGCCAGAAGCTGCTGTCACCCCTACTCAGCTCGGCAGCTCCTTGGCATTGTTTACCCTGGTATCTTTATGGTATAATTATATGGGCATCAATTTTCAGACAAAACTTCAGGTCAGTGCCTGGGGGGTGGGGAGTGGCTTCAAAGGCATCCCTGAGGCCAACACCCAGTGTGGGTTCCCCTCCCTGGACTCAGGTTTGCAAGCCATTTCGGTACACAAGACATCGGGAGTAACTGCCATCTCTGCAACGGCAACCGGCTACCAGCAGTCCCACCTCATCGCAGCCAGAGCAGAGCAACCGGTATCTCTCCGGGGCCCTCAGCGGGCAGGGCCATGGGCAAGGCTGGGCTGTTCCTGCTTCTGCAGGAATCCTGTCTGGTGTCTGAAGTCCTGAGCCCCTCACTGGACCTTAGCCTGCTTCCCTAACCCTGCTGCTCAATCTGGTCTGACCCACTGGGTGGCTGTCTCCCCTACTGCATGTACACTCCTTTCAGGCTCCTGGAGAGATCCAGAGAAAAGTCTGGGTGAGCCTGTCACCTCAGCCTGGGGGGCCTTCAGTCCTATGAGGCTGGTTATCTGAGCCCTGGGCTCGGAGTGGCTGCTCCTCCTGCAGGTCTCTGAGCACCTGTGCCCGGGGCCCTTCACTCAAGCTCACCATTGGCCCTGTCTGTACACCTATAAGCGGCCCTTCCCACCCTGGTGTCTCTTAGGGACCCCAGGCAGAGATGCTGCTAGTAGGGAACACATGCATGTATTTGAGGTCGGACTAGGAAGGGTTCCCCAAGGTGTTTTGCCACCTCGGAGCCCCCCCCTCCCCCGCCCCCGTAAGCTTTATTGGAGTGAAGTGGAAGCGGCAGATGCTGGCTGCAGAGCAAAGGTACAGCTGGGTTCTAGGAGCTCAAATGCCAGCATGCAGGCCACTCCGGTGCCTCCCAGACAGAAGGTCAGAGTGCTTTGAGTGAGTACTGGAAGACAGTGCCCATGGAGAGATACCTCGTTCCTGTCCTTGATGGCTCAGTTCCTTACCATGCTCTCCAGTGCTAAGAAGCCATTGGCTTGCAAGTGACCTGAGCACAACCCCCTTCTCCCAGCTGGGCCTGACACTGAAATTCTTGACCTTGAGCCCCCTCATCCCTGCGGGCATCTCTGGCTCCTGGCACCACTCAGGGCCTCCTCAGTTAGGGCTCTGTGCTTACCTGAGAGCTCCTGTCCTGCTCAGACCCCCTTATTGCTTGCAGGATCCTTGCTGCGCTCACTCTGGCCAATACCTTGCTGCCTTGGCCTCACTCTGCTCAGAACTCTTGTCAGAATAAAACTTCACCACACTAGCCACTGTGCCCTACATGACTCACAGTGCCTGGCATAGAGCCGTCACACATTGCTTCAGGACGGCCACAGCAGTGTTAGGTGATGTCACCCCGTGTGGCACTGTAGCATGTAATCACACCGAGACAGCTGCAGCTTCTCTAGCTGACACAGTCACATGGGACCACACTGCACATGTGGCCTGTCACTGACCAAAATGTCACTGTGTGGCTGTGTGACTGGGTCATGTCTAGCACTTGCCCTTCAATGACACGGGGCAGAAAACAGATCGGGACAGTTCTGAGGGAATAAAGGTTGTTCTGCTCTCTGCGAGCTGCCAGGAACACCCTTCCCTCGAGCCTGGCCCACGCCCTGGGTATGTCAGCAGCTTCTCTGTGTGCCCAGGCCTCTGTCCTCTTTGTATGAAGCACCTGGTGTTTCCCCTGAGGCCCTAAGGGTTGGGTATGCATATGAGTTGTGAAAAGGATGCCACAGGGCTGATACCTAAGTGGCCCCATTGATAATCACCTCCCCTGTCCACAGAGGAGGAGGAGGCGGTGGCAACTTACTTCACCTGCACAGAGCTCAAGGGAGGTGCTGCTATTCCCTGGGCTCAGAAACACTTGATTTTATTGGGGTTGGTGTCTGGGACATAGCAGGCAGCCTGAAGTGACAGGATGACCTGCTGTGGCTGTGGCTTTGTAGTTCTGATGGCGTTGACCTTACCCTACAGCGTGATCCTTTCCTGCCTGTGTCAGCCTCTATCGACCTCATTCTGGTGGAGGATGTGGGGGTGATCCCAGAGGAAGTGACCATCTACAACCATCCTAGCATCCAGGTATGGCCCTGCACCCTCCTCTCCCCTGCCTAGACGAGGTCCACTGTGGGGGGCCCTGGCCTGGCCACATGTGACTCTCCTGTGTTGTGCTGGCGTCTCCTCCTCCAGGCAGAACTCCACGTGAAAGAAGGCTCTGGCTACTTCTTCCTCAACACCAGCGCCACAGATGTCGTGCGCGTGGCCTACCAGGAGGCCAGGGGCATCACCACAGTGAGTGAGGGCCATCAAGCCCCAGGGTGGCTTTGCTTGCTTTTCTGGGCTGGGATGTGGAGTTAATCCATGATTTAAAAGCTGGAACTAAATCCCATCAACTGTATAGTTAGCAAGGTCTTCAGATTGTCTGATTCATTCTGAAAGTCTTATCATTCCCCTGTCACCTTTGTGACTTAAGAGCTGCTCTTCAGCACGCAGATACGAAGCTCAGAGTATGGGCTGTTCGGTATCCACCAGTTAGCCACACTATTAGTTACCTAATAATCTCCTTTCAATCAGTCTTTAAATTAAGATTAAAATGTTACTAAAGTATCACTAAAAAAGTATCACTAAACCATAAAGGAATTTCTGTCTCAAAGATGTATCTGCCTTTTCTATTTTTCCAGGTTTCTTTCTTGACCCTGTCCCTGCCACTGGCTAATAAGGACGAGGGTGTGAAAAAATTTAGTCCTCTGGTTATTATTATTTTTAGTTTTGTTGCCCTAAATGGCGTGCCACCCCCACCAGCCACATTGCTGTGTAGACTATGGATTATTATCCATCATTTCCTCTTTTTTTCCTTTAAAAAGAATAAAACCACAGCTAGGCTTGTTGGTGCATGCTTGTAATCCTAGCAATCGGGAGACTGAGGTATGAGGATTGTTGTGAGTTTCAGACCAGCCTGGGCCACAAAGTGAGCTCAAGTCCAACCTGAACTGTGTAATGAGACCATGTCTCAAAACGATAAAAATCTTCCTGTCAAGCACGAGGTCATGAGTTCGATCCCTTGGTACTGGAAAAAAAAAAAGCAATTAAAATAAAATAAAACAAAATAGAATAAAATAAAACCAATCAAAACAAAACAGTCAAAGTGATACAGGACTTCAAAAGAAAATAATAGGAAATAACAATGGCTACCATAGTGCCTCTTGTTATCTTCAAAATAGCTGCCCACACCATCAAACATAGTAAAATTAAAACAACAAAATCAATCAAAGCAAAACAATGAAAATGATACAGGATGTTAAAACAAGATATAGGGAATTAACAATGGCTACCACCTTTAGAAGGAGATCCCCCACACAGTTACTATATTGCACGTTGTTATCCTCCAAAGAGATGCTTAGGCCACTGGCCTTAGGCCTGCAAAGTCAGTCAAATATAAAACACTACAAGCACTAAGTTGTTTTTTCTACTTCATTAGCTATCATCCCAGCCTGTGTTTCTTCAGGTCAGTCAATTACTTGAGGGGTGGGAGCTCAGCTCTTTTTGTCTCCCAGCCTGTGCACTGACCAGCTAACAGGAAGGGGTTGGCTTCTTATTTCTTCTCTCTGTGGCCTGTGACTGCTTGTCAGTCATTTTACTTAGCTATTCACTTCTTGTAGATTATTTGAGTTGTTTGACCTTTAGGTTCATTTAAAAAAATGTAGTCTAGCACAGAATAAGAAGTGAAAACAAACAAAAAACAGAATTTCAGATGTCTACATCTCTGCCTGTCTACATCTCTGCATAACAATACACTGTTATGTGGTCATGAAACTGAATCTTGTTTAAAAGGAAATTCTGTTCTATTTAACATGGAAAATGAATCCTGGAAGTCATAAACATCAGGCAGACCAAAACAAAGATAGTAACAGTGCCACCTATAATGGTAATAATCCACAGCAGAATCCTCTAGTCACAGATCAGCTGTGGCCTTTGGGCTGTTCCTGTCCAAGGAATGTCACATGACGCTGTCACCAGGTTGGCCTTTTCCCAGCTTCACAAGAAGCAGTTGGTGGTGTTTAGCTCATGGTGGGACTTCAGCTCACACCGTTCATGGGGATGGGCGGGCTCCTCTGATCCGGACTATCCTGAAGACTGTGTCCTCCTTTGCTCTGGGGCCCGCCTCCAGCATGGCCTCATCAGCTAACAGCACCATGACTCGCACTTACCATCCCACAGAAGGCTGTCATGGGCATTAATCTCTGCAGTGACCTAGCCCCAGAACCCTCTCAGGAACAGCCGGGCACGTGCACACACAGTTCATGGCGTAGCCTCACTTCCTGTACAGGTGGTTTGACTGTAACACTGCATTTCCTGTTGTCCGGCTTCTTATTTCTACTGAGTGGCTTAAAATAGAGGTCACAAAATGCGTTGTGTCTGCTTGGGACAGGTGTGAAGCAAGAAAGACACACGAGTGAGGTGGAGGAATAGACTGGGATGTGCCAGTGGATCCTAGCCTGACCTTCAGTGCTGGTGACAGGGCGGCAGAGGCAGGGCAGACTGGGGCACATGGAAGGGGCAACTGCCCCGCTCCCCTGGCTGATTCCTGTTGTTTTTGATCGCATATTTGCTGAGGTGTGAGTCATGTGCCATACACTTTGCCAATTTCAGGTGTAATTCAGGGGTTTTAGAATATTCAGACACATGCAACCAATGTGAGAGAATTTTCATTGCCTCAAAAAGAAAGCTGCACACTTTGAGCTCTCACTTTCTTATTCTTACACACACACACAGCCTGTCCCAGCTTTAAGCAATGTCTAATCTACTTTTTGACTCTTAAAAATTTCCCTCCTCTGAACATTTTATATAAATGGAGTCAGACAATATGTGGTCTTCTGCAACTGGCTTCTTTCATTTTGCCGATGTTTGGAAGGCTTATCCACCTTAGGGTCCTTTTTATGGCCAAATCACAACCTATTGCATGGATGTGCCACATTCTGTGGATTTGTTCATCCATTTGTGGCTATTTTGATGATCATGAGTGATGAACATTTGTGTACATGTTTGCTCATGGACGTATGTTCTGAATTCTGCTGGGTGTATGCCCAGGAGTGGAAGTGCTGAGTCATATGGTAACTCTATATTTATTGAACTTTTGGAGCAGCTACCAGATTGTTTTCCCAAGGGACCACACCATTCCAAAGTCCTGATTTTTCCCCATCCTGTCAACACCTGTAATTAATTATCAGACATTCAAAATCCAATGTAAGTGGTTTCTCCTCATGGCATTGATTAACATTTCTCTATCTGCTAATAATACTGAGTGTCTTTTTGAGTGCTTATTGCTACTGCTATGTCTTTTTAGGACAAGTGTGTGATTGGAACCTTTGCCCACTTTTTGTCTTTTTATAGAGTTGTAGAACTTTATATTCTAGGTGTATTCTGTTCTTTTTCACATATGATTTGTATCTATTTTTTTATTTTTCCTCTAATTTTTCTAAGTATGTCTTCTGTAGATGTGTTCAGCATTTCTTTCATTACATTTATCATTTCTTCTTTTACCTGGGAGATTATTTCTGTTCTGAGTTCTTTTATAGCTTCCCAGAGTTATTTCTTTAGTTGTTATTATTTCAGGAATTTCAGGTGTATGACTTACGTTTTCTTCTGTCCATGTCTCCTAAGCTTGCTTGGGTTGGGCTGGAAGTTTGAGATTGCATTTTGTTCTTTCGTTTTGTCATTTTCCTGTATTTCTGGGTTTCAGGCGATGTTCAAAGTTTCCTTCCTGCGCTAGAAATCAACTTGAGCACATTTGGCTCCCAGGACTGAATTCAGGCCCCTGCTAGCCACTTGGAGGTCACTAGGTGTGGTCTGAATCTATTTCTTCATTCTTTGTTTTTTTACTTTCTTGGTGACACCATTTCAAGCTCATAGGTCTTTAATTTTCTGTAGTACAGTCATTTTTTTTCCTGCTGTTGCTCCTGTGTACTTCTTTCTTCAAAGAGTTTCAAAATTTTGGCTCTTAATTTCCAGTCTTTGGTACACTGATATGTGTTTTTTTGTGAAGTAAAGTAGGAGTCCAGTGTCATCCTGTTGTGTGTGAGTATCCAGGTACCCAGCACCATTTGCTGAAAAGTACTCTTGCCATGTTGTCTTGGCAAAGAGCAGCTGGCTGGAATCGCATGGGTTTATTCTGAGTCTCTCAAGCCTGTTCCATTGATCTGCAGGTCTGTCCTCATGTCAGAACCACAAGATCTCAAGCCTCATTGTTTTGTAGTGAATCTGGAAACTGGCAAGTGTGAACCTTCAACTTTGTTCTTCTCTTCAAGGTTGTTTGACTATCCTGGGTCCCTCCAAGTCCACATGAATTCTTGAGTTAAACTTACCATTTTCTGCAAATAAGCCAGCTAGAATTCAGATAGGCGTTGCATTGACATCTTAACCACATTGTGTTCCATTCACAAACAAACACAAGGTGTTGTCCGGTTACTGTCTTCTTTGCCATTTTTCAGTGATGTCTTGTTTTTACAGTATGAGTTTTGTACTTCTATTATTAAATTTTACTTCTAAGAGTATTCTTTGCTATTTTGAGCAAGTTATTTTCTTAATTTTCATTATAAATATCTAGCTATACACTTTACTTATACAATTTATTTTTGTATATTGACCTTGTGTCCAGCAACCTTGCTGAACTCTAATGCATTAGTTTTTTTTAATTAGTTCCTTAGGCTTTTATTTATATAGAATCCTGTTATCTGTGAATATAGATAATTTTACTTTGCCCTTTCCTATTTTGGATGTTTATTTCTTCTTCTTTTCTTTCCTGGAAGTCCTAGATACAGTCTCTAGCAAAATGTTTTTCCCAATTTTAGGGAGAAAGCATGCAGTCTCACCACTAAACATGCTGTGGGGCTTTCCTAGCTGCTCCTTATCAAGTGGAATAAGTCCCTTCTATTGCTGTCTTGCAGTTTTTATCACGGAAAGGTCTTGCATTTTGTCAGATGCCTTATCTGTGTCTCTTGAAATGATCATACAGATTGTTAAAATTTCATTTATAATGATGTTTTACATTAGTTGATATTCAGATAGTAAACCAACTTTACATTACCAGAGTAAATCCTAATTGGTCATGATGTATAATTCTTTTTATGTGTAGTTGAATTTAGTTTACTAGTATTTTGTTTAGAATTTTATATATATTTATAAAATATATTAGTCTGTTGTTTTCTTGTGGTATCTTTGTCTGCTATGGGTGTCAGTAATATTGACTTAGAATGAATTGGAAATGTTCCTTCTCCTATTTTGGAAAGAGCTGTTTAGAGTTGGTACCAGTTATTTCTAAATATTTAGTACAATTAGCCAGTGAAACTATATGGATATGAGATTGGCTTTATGAAGAGTTTTTGAATATTAAATCAATCTCTCTTCAAATTGCCTTCTTTTAGTAAGTTTTGGTAGCTCATGTTTTTCTAGGAGTTTGTTCATCTAAATTATTTAATGTATTGATTGATATGTTATCTCAGTATTGCTTTGTCATTATTATTTCTTGTCAGTGAGTATTTGTGAGTGATTTGTCCTATCTCCTTATAGATTCCAGTAACATGAGCCATCTCTTCAGGCCACTGGTCAGTCTAACTGAAGAACTGTCATTTTGTTAACTTTTTCAAAGGAGCCGCCTTTGTTTTTTGGATTTCTCTCTGCTGTTTTCCTGTTTTCTGTTCACTTTGGCTGTAGTCACCATTTCGCTTCTTCTGTTCATTTATGTTTACTTTGCTGTTCTTTTTGAAGTTTCTGAAGGTAGACAGGTTGTTGATTTGTAACCTTTCTTACCATTTTTTAACGAGGACATGTGTTATCACATATATTTTCATCTCTACACAACTTTAGCTATGTTCCAAAAATGTTGCTATGTGTGCATTTTTATTCACATGAAGTTACCTTAAATTCATTTTTGTTTCTTTTTTTGTCCAGAAGTTATTTGAGAGTATGTTAATTTCCACGTATTTGTTAATTTCACAAAATTGTTGTCAATTTCTAATTTCAGTCTGTTGTGACTTGAGAATACACTTTGTATTGTTTCTATCATTTTAAATTCATGCACGTTTGTTGTATGGCCTAGCCCATGGTCTATCCTTCAGGCTCATGCATTGAACTTGCCTTTTGTAACAAAAAAAATTTAAAGGGTTTTGTTACTTATGTATGTTAACCATATCATGATTTCATACTTTATATATGGCTCAAAATAATGCTTCTACTCACTGTGGCTCAGGGAAGCCTGTGTGTCTGACCCACAGACTGGTGGTTGGGCACACTTGTGTGGATTGTCCCGTATGTGTTTGGGATGAAGGCACATTTTTCTTGTGTAATTTTTAGCTATACTATTCTAAAGATGTGGGTTAGGTCTAGTTGGTTCATTGTATCATTCACATCTCTATTCATCTACCTGGCTTTTGTATCTATTGTTAAAAGAGACGTGTTGGAGTGCCCAGTTGTTATGGTTGAATTGTGTACTTCTGCTTCCATTTCTGCTGCTTATATTCTGGGGCTGTCTTGCTAAATGTGTCTATGTTTATAATGGTTCCATCCTCCTTAAAGATTGACTCTTTTAAGGCATGTTACAAAAATGCTTCTCTTTGTCTCCAGTAACTTTTATTTTGTTTTAAAGCCTATTTTCTGTTTGTACAATGTTAATATAATGATTCTAGATTTCTTGAGTTTCTGTTTCATTTTGTTTTGGTTTGGTTTGGTTTTTTTGGTACTGTCATTGAACTCATGACCTTGTGCTTGCCAGGCAAGCACTTACGCCACTGTGCTAAATCCCCAGCTTGATTCTAAATTTCTTAGTTGTCTGTATAAAGTATTTTTTCATCAATATATATGTCTCTTTTAGTGTAAAATATTACCTATAAATAACATGTAACTGAATCTTTAAAGTCCTGTCATTGCCTATTGATTGAATTATTTAATCCATTCACTTTTAGTGTTCTCATTAATATTGTTGTAGTTACATTCACCATTTTACTCTTTATTTTGTTTTAAAAGGAGTAAAGCAAAACAATAAAATGAAACAAAACAAACAATAGTAAGATAATAGGAAATCGACAGTTGTTACTCCATTACATATTGTTAGCCTGTAAATAGTTACCAGACCACTGGCCCCAGGCCTGCAGAGTCAGTCAAAGAATATAAATGTCAGGTTACTTCCCTATTTCAGTTACTTCAGTCATTATCACCTCTGCCTGCGTCACATCTGCTTGCTTGCGGGTGGGGGTGGCGGGAGGCAGAGCAGCTTCTTTGCTGTTCCCCCAACCATCAGGGCCTCTTCCAGCCGAGGGGAGGCTGGTTGGCTTCCTTGCTGCTTCCCCCTGGCTCACAGGGCCTCCACTGGCACACAGCAAGGCTGCTTGTTTACTTTTTATCTACGTGTTGCTTGTTTTCTGTTCCTCCTTCACTACTTTTGCATTAAGTCAGTATTTTCCAAGTTACTATTGTAATCTCACTAATGAATTTTTTCACTTTTTTTCTTTTTTGGAGGTATTTCCTTAGTGGTTGTTCTGAGGTTTACTGTCCACGTCTTAGCATCACAACAGCTTTAGGTGTTCACCAGCTTCATTTTTATGAAATGAAGAAATGGCGGTCTGACAGAGATCTATTCATCCTGCTTCCTGTGGTATATATTCGTATGTATCACATCTATAAATGTTACTAGCCCAAAGTCTCAAGTTAAAATGATCCCTTTACATAATTTTATGTATCTAAAAGAAACTGTTGAAGGAGAGCAAGCGTATAATTACAGCTTTTGCTATATTAACCCTCTTCTTTCATTGCTGAGTCTTTTCGTGTGTCCTTTGGGTCTGGTCACCATCTGGTGTCAGCCTCCTGATCCCTTACATAATTGCCTCGCATGCCTCCTTTGTGCCATTCTCGGCAAATGTTACATTTCTGTGTGTTCTGTGCCCTGAAGTATCTTAAATACACGTTGTTTTGCATGGTTGGTTTTAAATGTGATTAAGAAAAGAAAAGGAACATGCATTTCTACTGACTTTTATAATTCCCTGATTACCTTTGCAGCTGTTCTTTGTTTTCTGTGTGGAATTCCTGTGTGGAGTTCCTGGCTTTCAGTCTTCAGAACTCTCCTTGTCGTTGCTCTTAAGGCAGATCTGTGAGGGACATGTTCTTTTAGTTTTTGATTATCTTTTACTTTCAGTTTTTGAGACATCGATGTGGACTTACAGGGTTTGGTTTGTAGGTCTTCCTGGGGTTGGTGGGTTTGTTGGGCATTTTGAATATTATCCTCCAGCCTTCAGCCCACATTGTTCTGATGAGAAACCAGCCTGTACCCTTTTGGGGTTCCTTTATAAATGATAAGGCTGTTTTCATGATTGCTCCTTTCTAGATTTCTTCCCTAACTCTTTGGCTTTAAGCATTTCATTTGAGAATCATGTGCTCTACCCATGAGCTCTACCCCAGCCCATGAACATGACTCCAGCTGTGGTCTAGTTTACTGCACTGGTCAGCTTCAGTGTCCTTTGGAAGGATCATTTGTGAGGATGGTGTCAAAATGTGTTGACTCCAAAGGCTTTTTCCCTTCTATCCTGTGTCCCCCTTTCTCTCGGGCATGTTTACCAGCCTACAGGTTGGTGTGCATTGCTGCTGTTGACAACTAGTCTCCTTTCAGGTGACTTTTACCATGTGACAGCAGCTGTGTCTCTGTGAATCTGTGTCTTCTTATCTGACATGGATCTCACTAATTGTCTCAAAGGTGTAGATTAATATCTTCTAATAACTGTAGAAGTTTTGAGCCATCATTGCTTTGAAGATTTTTCTACTGCTTTCTGTCTTTTTATGGCTCTTCCAGTAGACCTCAGTTGGGATACTTGGTGCTATCCCACATTTCTCTCTGGCTCTCTTCATTTCCTCTCTCTTTTTTCCTTCATATTACATAATTTCTGTCAACCTGTCTTCAAGTTTTTCGGTCCTTTATCTTACAAGTTCAGATTTACCCTTGAGTTCTTTAATGAATTTTCAATTCAGTTATTCTACTTTTTGATCTAAGAATTCCTATTTCATTGTTTTCTCTAATTTCTCCTGATTGTCTTCTGTATTTGATATGACATTGTTAGCAAATATTCCTTTACTTCTTTAATCATTGTTTGGTTTTTTTCTTTGAACATATTTACATGTGTAAACATATTTACATATTTACAGTGGTTATTTTGACAGTTTTTTTCTGCTAAATCTGACATCTGTCTGCCATCAGACAGGCAGTTTCTGCTCCCTTCTGTGTTTCTGGCATACAGGCCATACTTTCCTGTTTCTTTTCATTTCCTACAATGTTGGAGAGTGAACCTTTTAGTTCTTATATTACAGAAACTATGGGTTCTTCTCTGTCACCCTGGAGCTCACTATAATTTACTTGTTTGCTTCTATAGGAACTGGCTTATTATTATGTATGTAGTACATACACAGACACCCCTAAACACCCAACACCGAAAATTAAAGGAGGATCGGTTTACTTTAGTTTATAGAGTTCACAGTTTATGGAGGTTTCAGTGCATAGTTGGCGGGCTCCATACAAAGTGGCATGGCAGAGGGACATGGCAGAGGAGAAACAGTCTGTGACAGGCAGAAGACTTAAAAAGCAAGCAACCAATGGCAACAATAGCACCTTCTGCCCCTTATATACTCTATGTAGGCTACTGGGCTCAGGGTGGGTGCCAAACCTATCAGTAGACTAATTTAGTAACCACACACCCTTAATTCCAACATCACACTTTCTAGATCCAGCCACTTCTGAAAAAGCCTCACCTATAACAACATGAGACTTTGGGGGAACATCTAGACACAAACCATAACATTCTTCCCCTGAATGCCCCCCTCCCAAATTCATGCACATCCCTTTAGCTAAAGGCATTTAGTCTATCTCTAAGAGATTCCAAAGTCCTAGTAGCTTCACAATAGCTGAAAAGTCCCAGCCCAAAGTCTCCTTTGAGATTTAAGGCAAACTCTTAGCTGTGAGACCCTGAATAAATGAAAAGAAAGTTAAACATTTCCAACATTCAGTAGCACAAGATAGATATTTCTATTCCAAAGGGTACAACTAGGGATATAGAAAGGAATGGGGCCAAAGCAAGTCCAAAATTCAGCATGACAAACATTAAGTCCTATAGTTACTTATAGCATCCCACCCAATCTGGCAAGTTGTGAACTCCAAAGGGCTCGGGTGGCTCTAGGCTGCCCCTGTGGCGCTTCTGTGGTTGAAGCTCCTATGGCTTCTCTTGGACTGGCTTTGCTCCCTCCTTGAAGTTTTCCTCAGGTGACCCACAAATCCTGACTTCTCCAAATTTCTGGGGTCCCCACTGCTCCTTTAGCTTCACACTCATTGCTTTGAAGGGCATCCTCTAGAGACCCCACAGCATAGCCTCCCAGGCCTTCTTCTGAAATCTGGGTGGAAGCCTTTCTGACCCTGCAACTCTTACATTCTGCTTAGACCCAAAACCAGCACCATGGAGATGATATGAAGGTCTCCTGCCAGTAGCCAGGCTTCCTTCCATCTTGGTATAGGGGTCAAGTGCCCAGGGAAGTCTCTCCCTTGCTGAGATGGGAGAAGGGGGCAGGTGGGTCCTGTTTCAGGCACAGAAGATTCTTGTACTTCCTCTTCCTTTCAGATTTGTGTGAATAAACATCTCTTCATTCATTGCATGTGATCAGAACCATATCCTGAGGCCTCAGGTGGTTGTGTTGCGGCTGTCACCTGTCTTACTGAGGGGTGGGTAGTAGACTTCATCATACCGTCATGCAGAAACTCCACCTGGCATTTGATGTACAGTGATACAACCACATGAGGCACAGTGCAGTTTTCCAAGAGAAAACAGAAATCTCTAGTTGTTCATGAAACACCTGTATTTTAAAACGTTCTATTGGGGCATGGAGGGGTTGAGGAGCTGTGGTCCGTGCTGCTCAGATAAGTGAGGCCAGAGGATCCTTAAATCCAGGACATTTGGGCTGGCCTGGTGAGCATAATGAGACCCTGTGTCGGGGGGTGGGAGGGAAGAGGAGAGGAAAGAGCAGAGAGAGAGGCACTGTAATGATTTTAGTTGGGCTTTGTTTTAAATCCTTCTGTGGAGTTGGCTGTGTTCTCTGGCTGTCTGGTGGAGAGGAGATTGTGACACAGGAAAAGGTGAGAAGCCAGGAAGATCACAGAGCGCAGGGCCTCTCGGTAAATTGCCTTGCTTCTCAGTGGAGAGCACATCCCCTTGGTGCTGGGGACTAGTGTGTGAGAGACCCAGCTTGAGAAGGCCACCCACCTGCCACCACAGAGGATGCCCTGTACACTTTTATTTCCTTTGTATCCGGGGTATCACTATGTTTCCAGGGTGGTCAAGCAGCCTTCCTGCCTCAGCCTCCTGAATAGCTGGGACTACTGATGTGTGCCACTGCCCCAGGTCCCTCAGCATGTGTGTTCCCTTTATGAGAGAAGTAATTTTCCAGCCATTCTCCCTACTTCCAGGTAATGGAGGTACCTTGTCAAACCCTTGAAACTAAAAGGAAAACCTTCAACTATACACGACTCTGAGTGCTGGGAATATGCCCTGTCTTGCTGTCCTTCTAGAGTTTAATCACAACACCTGTGTTATTTAAAAGAGGCATTCAGGTTAGAGGTGTGAATGTTGCCTGTGACACATCACTGACTTGACAGCCCCACCGATAGACCTGTGTCCTTCTGTGTCCAAAGAAAGACCCTTGTCCAGACCTAGAAGTCAGTGATGTACTGGGCTGCCTCGGTAGGCAGCAAGCAACTAGAAATCAGGACACTTGCTGGAAGAGTCAAGGTGAGATTCCAGCATCAGAACCAAGTTCCCCCAGGAGAGTTTTGAACCCCTGTGCAGTCCAAAAATGCTACCATTCCAGATTTACTTCTGGATTTTCCACAGACATATATCAGTGCCCCCATGTTACACATAGCTGCAGCTGAGCTGTCCCAGTTCTCCCTCTGTACTATGGACAGCCTGCTGCCCAAGGCACATGGCTTCTGTGGGCTCTTGTTGAATGGGACAGAGTGTCCCAAGCAAGGGTGGCCTCAGAACCAAATAGGTGCTGTACTCTGGGAGTTAGTATCTGTGACCCACGCTCCCCCCGAGAGCTGCTTCTGACCCAGCAGGTGCTATGCAGCACCCTGACTGTCAGTCTCTGCTTCCTCCTGTCAAAGGTTTGGGGCAGAAACCCACAACTCCAGGTGCAAACTGGTCCTGTAACAGGGCAGGAGGGATTTTAGACCGTGTTGATAATCTGTGATGGGTCCTCGAAGCTCCTTCAGAGAACTGTTTCTGAAGGACACATTCACACATTCTTTAGGCATTTTCCAGCTGCTAATTAGCCGCATTCTCATTTCCCTTAATCACAGAGACAAGAAAGCCCACAGCCTTTCCTCACTCAGCTCCTAGAAAATGCTTCCTCCTTCCCTATTGATGCACATTCGGGACACAAGAATGGCTCCTGGGTGTGCGCAGCTTCCTGGCAGTGTCTCTGCAAGACAAGTGTGCATCTCGCAACAGGGCTCTGGTGACGCTCTTTATGCCCACACAATGCGCTGGGCTGTGTGGGGCTGTGATTACTTCTGCTCGCAAGGGTGCCTTTATTTCATTTTTGGCCAGCTGACACAAAGGGGTGTTTACCTGATTTAAACTTAGAGCTTCTTTCTTCTCAACAATTCCCTGCATTTCAAAATGAGTGCTCTAAGCAGAAGCCAATGTCATTGGAAGAGCAAGGAGAAGGAAGAGGCCCACTGTGCACTGAGCACTTAACACTGTCAGTCGGTGCATTGATTCAGCAAGGCTCCTGAGCCTGCCATGTACCAGGTGCTGTTCTGGGTGCCAGGGCTACAGCAGTGACAAAGCTGTGGTCTGTCCTGGTCCTGCAATGTGCAGCATCATGGTGTTGTTGGACATCCATGTAAGGTGCATAGGGAATGAGGCCCATGGGAGGTGTGGGTGCAAGGCTGTGTCCATGAGTTTGCACATAGATGTATCTGTGAGCCTGGCCTGTGGCCCATGGTGCATGTCCCCAGGCCTTCCCGCTAGGATCCCCTAGAGCTGGCTCTCCTTGATGATTTCTGTACAGATGCCATCATTCCCTGCAGGCTGTAAGGGCTGGGCATCCTGGACACAGGTCTAACCCTCTGGCAGGCAGGGCTTGACCCACCACACAACATGGCAAAATCCATTGGCAGAAATGGAAGCTGATGGCTCCAGTGACATTCAGAAATATGGACAGGATCTTCGCTCCTCTAAAGCACCCCTGTCAGGAGACAAGTCTGAAGTGTGATCAGAGCCCAGGGAAGCAGGGAGCCGAGAGGACATAGTCAGAACCTTGGGCCCTGGTGAGTGCCTACGCACATCGCAGTGGTTTCTTAATGAGCAATAATGCATTCAGCTGTCTGTCTCCCAGCTGATGACAGAACTCCCTTGGGCTCTGTTACTGCTGATGTTCTCAGGTGACACCTTCAATACTTAGAAATCAGAATTCATTCTCAGCATGGGCAGGCTCTGCCTCCTCCCCTTCCCATGCATTCTAGCTAAGAAGTGCCTGGGTCCCAGGCAGATGCTGGAAGGAGCAGGGCAGTGTGCCACTTGAACAGTCCTGTCAGACTCAGTGCAGGCGCCACTTTGCCACCAGCTCTCAGCTCCACCTCTGCTTCCCTGCACTCAGCTTCTGTCTCCCAAGTGGCCTCAAGAGCCCCCACTGAAAGCACGGTGACCTGACCGGGCTGATGGGAAAGGGTGTGGGGCAGGCCAGGCCTGTGATGGCAGCTTGACACCTCCCTCCCCCACCCCGCTTCTGTCATCCAGAGGCAGGGGCAAGACATCCATTCTCCAGGAAATGGAGTGGAAGAAGAATTTATCTCCCCACCACCATTTTGTAGCGTTGTTTAAAAAATGCAAAATGGTCCCTTTGAAGGTGGTATGGGGAGCCTTTGCCTGTTCTCCTGCGTGAGTCTGATGGCAGTGAGCACACTGTAATTTCCTCCACTGGTGAAGGATGTGCCAGCTCCTGCCAACAGCAGCATCTATGTGAGCATCGAATAGGGCCTCACATTGTGCTCTCTAAAAAAGCTCTGCTCCTCCAGTCATTTCACAGTGGGCCTGGGGCGGGGGGGGGGGGTAGCAATAATCATTCTCAGCAAACCCAGGCACCCGGTGGCTCCCTGGCCCTTCCTTGGCCTCTATTTAATACCAAGCTGTTAGGTGCAGCAACAGCTCAAATCCCATCCCTGTCATTTTGAACCATAAGTGTGACTTTTGCACCGAGACCTGGATTGATTTACTTGAAGCTATCCTATGAAATGGCTCAGACATGCCCTGTCTGTGTGCCCTTGAGCTCCATTATACTGTTGTGGGCAGCTGGGCTCAGCTTGCCAGGCTTGCATGCCCCCAGCTACCTGTGGACTTGGGCCTTGCTCACTAGGGCTGTTTCCTGCTGATTCCTCTTCTTCCTCCCTTGCCAGGAAGTTCTGTTCTGGTTGCTGGAGGCATCCAGCCCTTATTCCTCAGGAAGGGGAAAGTATGGAAGAGGAAGCCCCAGACTGGGACTCAGCTACCTGCGTCTGGTTCCCAGTGCTGTCCCTTCAAAGCTCTGTTCCTATCACATCATCAGGGGCTCAGTTTCCCCATGTGTACTTCACAGTGGATGGATGAGAATCTTTACTTTCCAAACAGATGAGGGCATCTGTTCTTTGCAGAGCTTTTTGTAGAATTTCCAAGTCCTTATGAACTAAGCTAGTTTTTCTGTCTGTAATACAGCCAAGCAGACTGAAGCAGTGTGCAATTTCTGTACTTTATAAGACCTTCAGAGCCATGACCCTTTATCTAATCAAGGCACAGGCACATGGGGCTTGGTTCTGCTGGATACCTGACTCCCTTATGAGGCTCTAGTGGGCTGAGGACAGCCCAAAGGGGAAGGAAGGGTAAGCAGAAAAGATGCCGGCATCCAGACTGAATTACAAATAGTGGCAAGCTACTAGGAGGATAAGGGAAACCAGTGCCTAAAGTTTCATTTATAGCCACCAGGAAAAGCCGGGGGGAGGGGGGGGGGAAGAGTATCTAAATCTTCTTTTTAAGTGCTAGGGATTGTCTTGCTCTTGCTAGGCAAGTGTTCTACTACAGGGCTGCATCCCCAGTCCAAGAGTTCCAGGTCTTTAAGGTGGACTGCAAAGCCTCAAGGCAAGCAGGCAGGAGCTCACTGGCTGCCAGGATGGGAGAGAAAGCCAGTGTGGCTGGAGTGCAAGGGCCATCGGGCAGGTGCCGTCTGGTGAGACTGGAACAGGAGGCTGCACCTAGCCTATGCCTGGTTGTGTGTTCAGCTCTGGGCAGCTGCTCAAGGGTTTAAACCAGGGTGTGATGCAATGGCATTAGCTGTCTTTTCTGAGTCCAAAACCTGGTGGATTTTTACAAGTTCCTGATACTGAAATTGTGGCTTTGGAGATAATAAACTGTTTACTGTATGCCTCACCCTCCATCCCCTGCCCCACCAATATGAGACCATAAACTGCAAGCGACAATATCATGTCAAGATATGAAATAGCCCTCTGTGCTCCCCAACAGCCTTGTAACTTGTCCTTGCTTATTCAGCCCAGAAAACTGCCCAGTTGAAATGCATGCCCAAGCAATATGACAAGTTGCAGGAGGCCTGTGTTGAGTAAACAATGTGAAATGTGCAAAGTCCCATTTTCCTTTGTACAATGTACAGTTAGATCAAAGCTTTCTGTGTTTATATTCCCAGCTCATGCTGGCTGACCAGAGGTAGGCAGAGCTCTATTTGGGTTGGGATTATCCTCATCTGCCACTTACAAGGGCTGGGCTGGTGGTCCCTGGTGATGACCTCCTATGAGGTGAGGCACTGCTCACGGATCCTGCAGCTGTGACCAAGCCACTCCTACCTTGCAGGTGCATCCTTTGCTCCCAGGCTCTGCAACCATCATGATCCACGACTTGTGCCTGGCCTTCTCCTCCCCTGCAAAGGCTGTCGTTCATGTCTCAGACATTCAGGAGCTGTACGTCCACGTGGTTGACAAGGTTGGTGGAAGCTTCTCTCTGCTGATCCATAAAAACTAGAAAAGCCACACAGCTATGACAGTGTTGTCCTTATGGCCATTACTGTTTCTCCTTGTTTTACACCGTGTGGTGGGTTCAGGGTTGCTTCTAATGTTGTATTTCCTCCTCTCAGTTGACACCCATAAGAGTTTGCAGTAAATTCTGCTCTACATTGTCCTTGATGTGGGAAATCATGTTCTCTAGCTCAAGGCAGTGACTCAGCAGCCAGGCACACACCTTGCTGAACTGGACTTTTCCTCCCAGAATATAGGAGTTGGATCCTCTTGGATTTCAGTGGCAAATGAATAAAGCTCACTAATTCCAAGTGCTCTTGCAAAATGAATAAAGAATAGACCTAGTTTTTTTTTTTCTTGTAAACAAGGGTTTTTCATGACTCCTAATAGCTGGGGTAAGTGAGGCCAGGCTTCCAGAATGCTGTTGACAGGTTCCTGTTTTTCTTAGTAGATGTGGCAGTTGGTAATGACTAGGGGAATGTTCATACAGGCCATACTCTTCAGCTATAGTGTATTATTATCTAGGAAGCAAATATTCTTCTACCTAGCTTCAAATATTCCTCCAGTCATCCTATTTCCACTGCTAATTTTATTAGAATTCTAAGAAGATTCTAGAATTTTCTATTTCCATTAAGCCTTTCGGTCCCCATTTGCTGCAGGTATGAGTTGTTGGGTTAGTGAGCATTTCTTGAGCTCCTGTTGTATGTGTGCCTGCTGCTGTTCTAAGCACCCATTAAGAATAGGGAATGGAATACATGCTTCTCAGTACCCCCAGCCTTGTATACAGCAAGCACTTCATTGCTTTTGTTTGTTGGTTGGCTGACTCTCAAGATCATCCTGGGTGACACCCTGAGTTCTCAGGTAGGTTTGAGGTCATCAGAGCTGTCATAGAGTCGTGAGTGTCACAGGTTGGGGAACTGGTCCTTTGAAGAAAGGCCACCCCCAAACCCTGTCCCTCATGTCACAGGTGGAGATTGGGAAGACAGTCAAGGCCCACGTCCGCGTGCTAGACTCTTACAAGAAACCTTTTCTGGCTAAGTACTTTGCCTTCATGGACTTGAAACTCCGGGCAGCATCCCAGATTGTCACACTAGTGTGAGTCCCACCAGGGGTCATGGAGGACACCTTGGGGACAGTATGGGCCCTGCCACAGCCTCTCCCAAGGAGGGATCCCAATGTTCCTGTATGTTTCAGGGCCCTGGAGGAAGCCCTAGACAATGACACAGCTGCATTCCTTGTGCATGGCGTGGCCATTGGCCAGACCAGTCTGACTGCCTCTGTGACCGATAAAGCTGGGCAGAAGATCACCTCAGCCCCACAACAGATTGAGGTAAAATGAGCTCTTTTCCTCCCAGTGGGGGAGGGGTGTGTCTTTGTATTCAATTGAGAGCATTAGGTGCAGTCCAGGAAGGCACCACAGAGAGCTTGTGCCTGCCCTTGCCTCAGATCAGTCACAGGGTCTGAGAGGAACGTTGGTGGACTGGCAGAAAAGGGACTGGGTGACTTTTGCATCCCTCTGTAATGCAGGAAATCTGTGAAGTTTGCCCTATGGCAAGGGCACAAGCAGAGACTGTTCCCAGGAAATGTGGCTGGGTAGGGGTGCCAGACCCATGTTGGGTCGAAAATGGGAGAACTCAGCCATCTGTTTCAGTCCTTAGGCTAAGTATTTGGAGGACAGTGGGTACCAGGCCAACAGAGGGGGCCAGAAAGCCAACTCCTGGTGCAGGCAGCTCATGCATGAGGTGAGCTCGGAGATCCCCACATAGTCACATGTGTGATGTGAGCCTGTCTCATGTTATTTGTTAGGTTTTCACAGACTACCCACTGTAGCCAGAGGCCAAGGCAGCGAGAGCCAGGAAGCCCTACCTAGTGCATCCATTAGTGAACCTTAGACTGGCTCTTACCTGCTCCGCTGTGGGCCTGGACTGCATGACGCTGGCCGGGTTTATTAATCTGTGCTCCAAAGCTGGTGGTGGCAGTTGTGTCTCCAGATGGAAGTGTACCTTCCTCCTCCTACTCCGAGGAATTCATTTCCACCTATAAATAGCACAGCCTGTGAAACTAATCCTCAGGCACACGGCAGCCTCCCTGCCACCTCACCCAGCCACTCACCAACAGCACTTGTCATATTGAGCAGGACTTGTGAGCGACGCTCAGGAACTATGCAGGTCTTTGCCCAGCAGCAGAGCCAGTGCACTCACGCCCCTGTGCACTCTGGCTAATCTGTATTTTCTTGTTTGGAGGCTGCTGAAGTAGGACACTGTTGAAAAGCAATTTTTTTCATTAGAAGTTTGTAGCTATTTAGGGACAGAAGCAACATTCAACCAAAAAGTCATGGCCCAGGCATATAGCTTAGTGGTGAAGTGCCTGCCTGGCAGGCACAAGGTTGTGAGTTGGATCCCTGGTAGAAAACAAACAAGCAAACAAAGAAAAGGATATCTTTCTAAAAAGAAAGAAAAAAAAAAGAACAAGGAGTCAGAAGACTCTCAAATATGAGAGCATCATAAACCTGGACATGCATCAGCATGTCCTCAAGGACTTGTCAGGTCCCAGACCCTAGAGCCCATATCTAGCTCCAGGCTTCTGGTGTGGGCCAAAGCATACATTCCTAGCAGGTCTCCAGCAATGCCAGTGCTGCTGACTGCAGGTCACAGTTTGAGAACTGCTTTGTAGGGTGACACGTCAGATGAACGAAAGGTCCTGATTTCCGTGAGGTTTCATGTCTGGTGTAAGAAAGCCAAACTACAAATAGCAAGAATATGCCCCAGGAGACACAGAGCCTCGACTGACAGCATGGGGTGCAGGCCACTCCAGAAGCACAACCCGAATCCCAGGTCTGCCCAGGAGTGCTGAGTATGAAGTGTGTGGCTGGCACCAGCTCGAGTCCTCAAGCCCTCCTTTCTATCTCCACCCTAGGTCTTCCCCCCGTTTAGGCTGATGCCCAGGAAGGTGACGCTGATTATCGGAGCTGTGATACAGGTAGGTACTCAGAGACTTGTCCTGTCCTCCTCACCCTGCGCCCTGCAATGCCCCAGCAATGCAACCTCCAGGGACTCTGTCCCAGCCCCATGACAGGTGGATGGAAGTGGACCGAGGTGATGACAGTTACCACTGCTTCTTACCCTCAGATTACCTCGGAGGGCGGCCCGCAGCCCCAGTCCAACATTCTCTTCTCCATCAGCAATGAGAGCATCGCAGCCGTGGGTGGCACTGGGCTGGTGCAAGGCCTCTCTGTGGGCAACGGCACTGTGTTAGGAGTTGTGCAGGCAGTGGACTCGGAGACCGGCAAGGTCATCGTCATCTCCCAGGTATCTGATGTGCTGTCTGAGACTCCTGGGGTGGGATCCTTTGGGGTGGGTCCCCTGGGTCCTAGACCACTGATGTCATTGTGGCCAGGGATGCAGCAGGTGCAGGAGTCCTGGTCTTGGTCTCTGCCTCCTGAGGAGCCCCTTGGAGGGTGCTGATGAGCCCTCTGCATGCCTTCCTCGCTGAGAGCAGCTTGAGTTTGCTCCCTCCATGCCAGGCTTGGGCTCCCATGTCTTCCAGCTGTATCACACAGGACATGGCATTCAGGTCTCCACCCAAGGGAGTTCCCAGGAGGCAGCCATGGCACTGGCAAATGGTTTACATTCACGTCCCCTGCCCTCATGGCACCCTCATGTATTTTGTTCCCATCCACTCTGCCTATGCGTTATCTAAGAAGCCAGCCAGCAGCCCACAGCCACCATGGTACGCTCGAAATGACATCAGCACACTGGATCCTCAGCGCCTTCCTTTCCATGGGGGTTTGAGTGGAAGAGAAGAGACACTGTGGGTGAGCCACACCGTGTGTGTGGCAGAGGTGTGCACTGGCTACATGGATAACTGGGAACCAAGGGTCTTTTAGACCTGGATTTGTATTTCAGGGGAAAAAGAAAACCCAAGTCAGCCATAAATGTCTTTTGTTCCACTAGAAGCTGAGTTGCCTCCCAGTCTCTTTGCCAGCATGGGGACATTTCTGGATTTCTTTCTCGGCTCACAGAGGAGCTGGAGGACCAAATTGGAGCAATCTTCTCCCCGAGAGGGGTCTTCCTCCCTCACTGGTGGGATTGGCACCAGCAACTGAAGTTGGTTGCTCTGGAGATGTACCAGTTTCCGTTCCTTCCCAGGATGGGCACTCTTTAGTCTCTGGTCCCCAGCAAGGCTCAGGATGAGAAGCACAAGGGCATGTGAGGTCCTCTGACATCTTTGCCTGCTGTGATGTGTAGAGGCATCGCAGGGATCCTATTGTGTGATCTTCTCACAGCCACACCAGAAGCTGCTCTGTCAAGGACAGTGCCAGGACACACACAGTGTGGCTGTGGACAAGCACCCTTTCAGATGTCTGTCCAGGAGCACTCTGAGCTCGGAGCATCTAAGCGTCGTACCTGCAGGTGTGGGTGAATGTGCTGCCCTACAGGAGCCCGATGAGTCCCCTGGCTGACTTTGATTCCACGTGGAGTTCACTCACTGACTCTTTTTTCCAGCAGTTCCAGTGTTGGCCTCTAAGTACCCCGGTTAAACCGCAAAGGCTTTTGAAGTGGCTGGGCTGGATGCCACAATTGCTGTGTATCAGTGTCACAAAGATGACAAAAAGGCACTGAGTGTATAAATCTGTCCTGGTGGTGTGGCAGCGTGCAGACAGGTGGCCCAGAGAGTAAAGCACAGGAGCCTAGAAGGCCATACTTTGATTCTTTCAAAACCCCAAACAGTTTTGGCTCCAGGAACTGGCTCGCCTTCCACCTCCCCAGGTGGCCAAAAGGGCAGGCAGCTAGAAATTCAGCCAGAGGTGCCCAGCCTGAGCTTCCTGTGGTCCTCTGCTCTCTGCATCTGACCTTGTCCGGCCCAGGAGAGTGATCGGCAACTCCAGGGCCACTAGCTGAGCATGTGATTCTGAGGTTTCCAGTGCCTTGGATCCGGCCAGGTCACGGAACCAGCAGTGACCACAGGCAGGAGGGGACAAAGCCTTGAGAGGAGCAGAGGGCAGGAAGAGAAAGGATGCTCACTGAGTGCCTGCTGAGTGCTGGGCATTTGCCCCATTACGAGGCCCAGAGATGAGTTCCGTGTACACACATGTTGAAAAGGCTAAAGCGTTTTAGTATCCTGAGTTCAGCACGTGTCAGCAGCACTGTGGAAACCCCAGGAGAGTTGGTCTCTGCTGACTAGGAGTCAGCGGTTGGGATGAAGGAGGGTAGTGGGAAGATCTGGGACCCAGCCTGGGGCTGAAGAGCTGCCTGGTCTCTCTGCTGGGTCTACAGTGCTGCAGCGAGGTCAGATGGGTCCACAGGTCACAGAGCAGCAGGGAGTTCCCTGGGACAAGCCCCACCTAGAGCAGATGAGCATGGGAGGGGACAGCCTGTGTGACAGAAGCCCCAGCCCCCTCAGCCAGCCTGAGCCCTGGGACTGTTGTCCTAGGACCTTGTGGAGGTGGAGGTGCTGCAGCTCCAGGCAGTGAGGATCCGGGCCCCCATCACACGCATGAGGACAGGCACTCAGGTAAGACAGGAGCCGTGGGCTCTGGAGGTCTTGGACTCCCAACCCTGGCTTGGAATGAGCCACCAGGGTTCCTGGTGTGAGATGTTTCTCCTGCCACTTCATGTGTGAAGCCACTCTTTGTCTGCCAGCCTGACTCAGGCCCTGCAACCCACCCCACATCAGGTGGGTGCCCACAGGGCTTCTCCTGCAGGCCTGGCGTTCATCCCCTTGAATCCGTCTTTGAACCCTTCCTGACCACTGCCTGAGGCCACCTTCCCACGCCAGGGGAGCACATGGCATAGATGGGCTGTGCTGCTGTGGGTCACTGCGGACAACCCAGAACCAAAAGGGATCCTTTCAGAATTGGGCCTCAGCAGGCACCAACCCCATGACAGGATAGGGGTAGGGTGGGCCAGGGCTGGGCCTGCTGCTGATTGGGTTGTGGGGTGTTTTGTCACAAGTTCCCGCACCTGCGTCCTGCATAAAGCAGCAGGAAGTTTCCTGGGGGTGAGGGTATCCCCAGCTCCAGGGCCCCTGGTGGTTACCAGGCTTGGCTTCTCCCCTAGATGCCTGTCTATGTCACTGGGATCACCAACAGCCAGAGCCCATTCTCTTTTGGAAATGCTGTGCCTGGCCTGACCTTCCACTGGTCTGTTACCAAGCGAGACATCCTGGACCTCCGAGGGCGCTACCATGAGGTAAGCAGTCCATCAGGACCCCTCTGTCCTTTCCCCAGGCCAGTGTCCTGGGGGCAGGCAGGGTTCCTGCCACATTGTGTCACAGGACCCTGATGCTCAGGGCACTGTTGGCCCCTTTCCGCCTTCTCCATCACAGTGGGATGCTCCTCTCCCCTCACCAAGCATTGCAGGTGGCTGAGGGGGCCGGAGGGGGTCTGTGTGCCACTGCTATAATAGAATACCTGAGCAGGGGCCCTGTGAAGACAAGGTTATGGGCTCTGTGTTGGAGACTCAGGACCACACACCAGCCTCGGGGTGCCTCAGTGGGTGGCCCCAGGTGGGAGCATGTGTGAGAGCAGATGTCACTGTAGACAGGAAGCAGAGAGTAGGGAGAGAAGAGCCTCATTTTTTTCATAACAACCCACCCTCACAAGGACAAACCCAGTCCCGTGCCATCTATGTTAGTCTCTCCTGAGCACAGGGATCCCAACCACCCTGTCATCCTGCACTGAGCCCTACACCTGTAGGCCAGTCCCCTCATGTTGCCATGGCAACCAAGTTTTCAGCACAGGCACCTGGGGTGGGGGTAGTCAGGCTCCATCCATGCCAAGCTGTGGGCGACTCTATGTTTACAGACGGCATCAACATGAGCAGTCCTAGGGCAGCAGGGCACAAGTTTCAAAAGGTCCTAGGGCTTGTCTGCAGCTTCTGAGCCCTTCGTGAGAGGACAGTGTGCTGTCGTGGGAGTTCTCATGTTCTGTCGTGCAGGCAAAGACCCCTTCTGCTAGCTCTGCTCCGGGCTCCTGGCCCTTCAGGTCTCAGAGCTAGAAGGCAGGCAAACCCGCTGTGGTTCACCTTGTGCTCTATGGACAGTAGGGCTGCCATCCTGGGAACAGGGCCAGCACAGGGACAGGATTTCCTGAAGGCGAACTGGAGTTTGCAGCGCGTAGGATGATCTCACCCTCTTCCTGCTGGTGGGCCACAGTTTTGTCCCTATTACTGGGGGCTTCCCCAGATATTCCCACCGGGGAATCACATGGGACACTGGCTATGTGATTCATCTACAGATACAGATACCTCAAGATGGCAGGCTCTGCCCCAAGCCCTCTAGGGGTGTCAGGGCTGCTACATGGGGGTGACTGCAGGGGCTTCCACACCCCCATGCCTCAGGGAATGGCAACATGCCATGCTGGGATAACAGCTGTGTGTAAAGCTGGGGGTTAACAAGCAACAGAGGCCTCAGGACCTGTGGAATCTGAGGCCCTGTCTCCACCTGTCTGCCCCTTTGGTGATAAAAGCATGTCTGATGTCTTCCCCAGGCCTCTATCAGGCTCCAGTCCCAGTACAACTTTGCCATGGCCGTGCATGGCCGGGTGAAAGGCCGGACCGGGCTTCGAGTGGTGGTCAGGGCTCAGGAGCCCAGAGCTGGACAGCTGCATGGCCTTGCAAGAGAGCTGTCGGATGAGATCCAAATCCAGGTAAAAAATGGGTCTAATGGTCAGGTATGGTTGCACATGCCTCTAATCCTAGCACTTGGGAGGCTGAGGCAAGAGGACCACTGTAAGTTTAAGGCCAGCATGGGCTACAGAGTGAGTTCAAGGTCAGCCCTGAGCTGCATAGTGAAACCTTGTCTCAAAACCAAAAGACAGGACCAGGGATAGGGCTCAGTTTTGTCGTGTCTGACTGGCAATCATGAGGCCAGGAGTTTGAGTCCCACTCCCAAAAAAAAAGAGTCTAAATTCAACAGGATGGTAGCTGTCTATGGGTGATGGAGTGGGCAAGATGGTTCCTAGTAGTCCTTCCATAGGCCCCAAGATCAGGCTTGAGCAATGACGTGGAGGAGGACCCTCCCTCCCTGTCTGCTAGGGAGACTCAAGGAATTCAACCAAATGTGGGGAGCACAGGAGTGGACAGAAAGCACAGGTGCGTGTGGTGCTGGGAACTGAGAGATGGGCTGAAAGATCCAGGACCGGGGGGCCAGCTGGCTAGCCAGGCAATAGGCGGAAGTGACTCACCACCTTCTAGAAATGGCGTTGGTCTGCGCCTGTGTGCTGGGCTGTGCCTTGATGGCGAGAAGAAGCTCATGGTGCCCGACTTGTACCAATCATGTGACAGTCTGCACTTATGTGCCATACACTGGTGGGGCTTTGCTGGGGCCCGGCAGTTCTCCCCGCAGGGGCCCGTTGGCCCCGCAGCTCCCTCCTTCCTGTCCTCCTCCAAGACCACGGCCCTGTAGGCCCTCTTTAGGAGTTGTAAATTGGTTCCGAAAAGCAGTTTGAGCTCCTGGAACTTCTTTCTGCTCACGGGGCTCTGAAATCTCTGGTAACCCTGGGTCACACTGTACTGCGAAAGAAGAGAGCATCTGTGAAACATGGCAAGGAAGGAACAGTGGCTTTGAGTGCCCTGCTAAGAGGAAATAGACAGCTGGGAAAAGTGGCACAGCCTAAAATGCAGGCTACTGGGAGCCCGAAGCAGCGCAGTTGCAAGTTTGAGGCAAACTTGGGCAATTTAGCAAGACCCTGTCTCAAAATAAAAAGTAAAAGGACCAAGTTCCGTCCCCAGTAGAAGAAGGGAGGGCTGGAGGGAGGAGGGGGCTTATTATTTCTCCTCCTCTTCTTTCTCCTCCTCTCCTCCCCCTTCTCCTCTCTTCTTCCTCCTCTTCTTCCTTCTCCTTCTCCTCTTCCTCCTCCTTACTCTTCTTCCTTTTCCTCTTCCTTCTCTTCTTCTGGTGGTGATGCTAGAGATGGAACCCAGGGCCTTGTGCATATCCCACTGAGCAACCCCCAAACAAAATAAACCATTTCCAACATGAGCGACACCAAGCCAGGGCCAGGAAGGCAGATTTTCAGACAGAAACATGTATCTGCCAACTCTGGCCTGTCTGTGCGTGCCTGTGTGTGCTACACAGAGACATCTAAACAGACATGCACAGAGGCCAGAGGCTCACATTTATCCATGCAGACACAGGCACACACAGGCATGCGCATCCTCAGAGAGACACAGGGAAACAGTCCTACATAGACACACTCGTGCACAATCGCACATTGCTCCTGCTTAAGCATAAAACAGTCAATTCCAGGAGCTGTCTGAGAATGACAGCAGCCTCCAGTTTCTTCAGTCTCAGCTGGGTCCCTGACTGCAGGACAGCAGGTGGAATTAGAGGAAATCAGGAAGTGGGAAGCTGGTCCAGCCCCAAATGGGATCTACCTGGCTCACTCCAGCCATTGAAACAACTAGGATTAGTTGCCAATATTTAAAAACAGGAAGATCCCATGTGAAAATCAGTGGGCAGCATGCCCTGGACGTGTGGCATTACGCCCTGTGGCAGAATCATCCAGTGATGAGACAGAGCCTGCCCTTGGCCGAGCCCTGCACTGCTGTTTGCAACAGCCCCCCACTTCCCTTGTCTGCATGACCGCGAGGTTATGTGTCACTTGCCATCTCCCATGGTGCTGGCACTGTTGCCTTCCTGAGCTGGACAGTAAAAGGAGGCAAGAGGACCACTGTAAGTTTAAGGCCACCTCGAGCTGCAGAGGGATGCCAAAGAATGCACATTTGAGAGAATCAGGAGGCAGCCTGCTCCTGGCTGTGTCTGCTCTGCCGTACATGTCTAAGCCAAAGTTGGCGAGGCCACTCCACTCTGCATGACACCTGCCCAGCACAGGGGGCCTCTGCTACACCTGCCCTGTGTGCCAAAACAAAACTTCTAGCTCCCACAGGCTTTTGTTATTCACCCTTTGGGACTCACTCCATTGGCTCAGGTCACATGCGTCCTACTGCTCTGGGACTGGCATGGCGTGATGATTCACTTCAGACCCATTTTACAGATCAGAAAACAGAGCCTTCTGTATGTAGTCAGCATACAGAGGAGCTGAGGGCTAAGAGGGCCGGCTAGTATCCTTTGGAAAGTCATCTGTCAGCTCAGGCATCAGCTCAACTCAGATACTACTAGGTGCTCAGGCCTTGGGGATGACCTGCTGGTCTGAGCAGAAGTTGGTTGGAGAACGCAGCACAGAGCATCTGCTGCCCAGCAAGGGGTGACCTGTGCATCAGGCTAAAAGACTAGAGAGCCCCACAGCACCCAGTGGCCTTAGTCAAGGGACGCTGGGCAGCAGTGGCCATAGTAAGAGCGTGGTGAGAAGGGGCCAGAGATCCTTGGTACTGTCGGGCCTGTTACCTGCTGGACCCAATTCATCAATCCCCACACCCCTGATCCCATAATCCCGCAAGAGGCTTCAAAGAGAGAAAGTGAGATAGATCCAGAGAGGAGGAATGGGTTGTCCTTACACGATGACATTAGCTGGCAGGCTGCTCTGTGCCACCTCCCTGTGCACCCATGCCAAGAGGCAGTGTGCTCTAACTGGTGATAGTGTGTGCCTGTGACCCCAGCTCCCCTGGGCACACACATGTGACTCACCTGCTTTTTGTCATCACACCTGAGCCTCTCAAAGCCAGCCCTCCATGACATCCTCCACCACACAAGTGCTGGGGACAGTTTTTCTCATCCTTGGCAAGAACACAGGTGTCACCTGGGCTGGACAAGACTCTGGGTGTCACAGGAAATATGGCTCGCCCTCTTTTCCAGGTGTTTGAAAAGCTGCGACTGCTGAACCCTGAAATAGAAGCAGAACAAATATTAATGTCTCCCAACTCATTTATAAAGCTCCAGACAAACAGGTACGTGACTCAGCTCGTGTTTGCAGCGAGGTGGAGGAGCTGTGCTTGCATCCGACACCTCATCTGTCAAGGTGTCAGGAGCCCAGCGCTCAGGGAGGCTTTGCGAGCTGGGCTGGAATTCATGGCCTCGGCGCGGTCTTCTCCGCCATGTGTCTCCTCTGCTCTTCCACGGCTTTCTCCTGTGGCTTCCTTTTCCCCACCCTGCAGCCCAGACTGAAATCAGGGTCTAAAAGCAGGGAAAGTACCAAGTGGGAAGTATTGAATCTTTCAAATGCCCCTGTGTTTCTAGGATTTGTCACTCAGAAGTGTAGCCCGTGAATTAGCAGCAGCAGCTGCACTGAGAGCAAATATAAATTCTGGGCCCCAACCCAGATCCAATGAGGAAAAGATGCAATGCTGATTCAGAGACTGTGTAAGCGCAGTTCCCACCTGGGTTCCACAGGCAGTCTTCTTACTGTAGATAACTTGTACCCAAGTGCAGTGACCAAACAGGAACCTCCGGGGGCCACACAACCAGTTACAGATTGTGTGCAACACACTTACGGCATTGAACCATCCAAGAGGTAGCTGCTAGGAACCAGGAACATGAAGATGAGCTCAGGGCATGAACCTCCGGGAAGGTGCCTGACCCAGGGCCCTTGAACGATTCGGAGGAGTTCTTCAGGTTACAAGGAGCGAGTTAGTAGAGGAGAAATGTTGGGAGCAGAGAAATACTTGCTGAAACTCAGAGGAAACGGCCTGGTAACAAAAGGCCTGCTCTTTACTCACTGCATACTTAGTCTCCTGCACAGTGCACACACAGTATCTTTTGTTTGAAAACCCCTTTCTTAGCAGGTACACTGCTTTGTCCTGCTGCCAGCCTTACAAGTAGGACAGAGCAGGACGGCCATTCCCTCTACACAGTTGAGGAAACTGAGGCAAAGAGAGGACAGACACACAGCTGCCAGCAGTTTCTTCAGGCCCAGCTCTGGGTCCCATTGACTCAAAGCCTCATGCTCTCCTGACTGTGCCAGGGCACCCTGCTGCAGTACATGGGAAACCATGGGCCATAGAAACGAACAGTCCCTGCCATAAATGTGTTGCGTCACCAGTGAAACCGACAGCCCTCACAGCTTGCTCCCCACTGGCCGACTCAAAGCCTCTCTCAGAGGAGGGGGAGGCTCACTGTCCTTGGCACCAGCACCACGGATTTCTGTATTCACTTATTGCTGGGTGACTGATGGGGCTGCAGGCAGAGGCAGCCCATGTGGCTCATGTGCCTCTGCCTTGCAGGAGTAGTCAGGAGCCACAGATGCCTGGACCTCAACGCTTGGGAGCCAGGCCATCTGTGACAGCAGATCTGTCTTGTTTCCTAAAGGGACGGTGCAGCTACGCTCAGCTACCTCGTCCTTGACGGGCTTGAGGGAGTCCCCGTAGTACACATTGACGAGCGGGGCTTCCTGGTATCCGGCTCTGTGGTTGGGACGTCCACTATTGAAGTTACCGCCCAGGAGCCTTTTGGGGCCAACCAGACCATCACCGTTGCTGTGAAGGTAGGATGTGTGTTTTACCCATTGTGGATCATCAAAACAGTAATTCAGGAGTGATTTTCCTGTTCCCAGTGGAGAAGCTTTGGGAAAGCATTGATCCAGGACTCTCATGGGGCAGAGGTCCTACATAGCTGTTGGACTGCCAGCTGACAGCTCCCGGCGATGATTGGTTCCACTTACCTTGCCTTCTTGATGGGGAAACTGAGACCCAGTGAGGTCACACAGCTGGATCTGTGTCCTAGGTTCCTGACTGACATTCAGGATCTGCAACATGATTGGTTTTTGTTTTTGTTTTGCCATACCAGGGACCGAACCCAGGACCTTTGTGTTGAGCTACATTTCCAAGCCCTTTTTGTTTTTTATTTTTGAGATAATGTCTCACCCAGTTGCCCAGGCTGGCCTCAAATTGCAGTCCTCCTTTCTCAGCCTCCCTGAATGCTGGGATTACAGGCATGGTGCACCATATACAAGGCTGAGGCTTCTCTGAAAACCCTGAAGCCAGTCCCCCAGCCAATCCTAAGATGGGTGCCCATGGGACAGGCGTCGCTTCCAAGGAGGGGGACATTTTGGAAGGTCAAGCTCCAGTGCAGGGGTGTCACCAGAGTGGTGCACTGTTCTCCAGGTGTCTCCTGTTTCTTACCTGAGAGTCTCCATGAGCCCTGTCCTGCACACCCACAACAAGGAGGTCCTGATGGCCTTACCAGTGGGGATGACCGTGACCTTCACTGCCCACTTCCATGACAACTTCGGAGACATTTTCCATGCTCAAAATTCCATCCTCAACTTTGCCACTAACAGGTAGGATGTAGAAGATGTCCCTCCCTCACACGAAGCCCTTCCACACAGTGAGAGAGGTCAGTCCATTTACTCGGGTCCACACAGCCAGGAAGTGGAGATGGGGTGTCAGGCCCAGCCCAGCTTCAAGTGCAGTTCCCTTAAGCTGAAGGACAACTGCAGCCCGGTCCTGATATAAGGAGAAAGAGGACAGTCTTCAGAGGAAGGCAGCGGCCATAGCTTCAACATGGCCCACCAGAGGACCTGCCCCTGGTCCCCTGGGTGGCTGGCAGCACACGTTCCCCGGGCCCCGCAGTCTGAGTGAGTCTTGTGTTGAGAGGCACTGCCTGCAGGTCCATGGACCAGCTCAGAGGGGACAGATAACAGGAGAGGACGTGTCCAGACATTGGTGCCTGTCCCTTCCCAGGGGACCTGCAGCTAAGGTGTCACTGTCGCTGGGCACATCGGGGGACAGTGTTAGGGGCATTGCGCAGTGGGAGGAACTGGGCTTTGGCACTAGGCTTGGCTCAAACCCAGTGAGTCCTGTGAACTTGGACAAAGCAGGTCACCTCCCAAAGCATCTGTCATTAGCCCTTCTGGGTGAAGAAAGTGACCTGGTCCCCAGGGCTGTGAGTGGAGGGCATGGCCATGAGGACTTTGAGTCATGGGGCTCTATGTTCACTTGTTGGCTCTAGATCAGCCTTGGGTATAAGCAGCCCCAGAGAAAAGGGACCCTGCTCCCTGCTCCCTGAGCTACACCACAGAAGTCACTCTGACCCTTGTATCCAGCAAGGGTCAGAGCAGTGACCAGCTCAGGGCTCAGATATCAGAGGGTGGGATCTGGTATGGACCACCTGTGCTGCCCTCTGTGTGGCAGCTGCCAGACCTGCACTCAGCAGAGGACTTGGACTATGTCTCTCCTGAGTCTGGGCCCATGCCTCCTCTCTCCTCCACACTCAGAGATGACTTTGTGCAGATTGGCAAGGGCACCACCAATAACACCTGCATCGTCCGCACAGTCAGCACAGGCCTGACACTGCTTCGTGTGTGGGACACTGAGCACCCGGGCCTCTCCGACTACGTCCCACTGCCTGTCCTGCAGGCCATCTCCCCAGAGCTGTCTGCCACGGTGGTGGTAGGAGATGTCCTCTGCCTGGCCACTGTTCTCATTGGCCTGGAAGGTAAGAGTTACTAACACTTGCTGGGAGGGCCCAGCCCTGTCACTGGAGGCACACAGGTAGAGCCTGTAGAGGGCGCTCCGGAGTAGGGGTTGGAGCCTGCTACCAGGGTCACCTGTAGCCTGTGTTTTGCAAATCCAGTTGTATTGAAACCCGGTTCTATGATGACAGAGATCGTATGTTCTGTGTGGCCCACACTGATTGCCATCAGGTTCTTGTGGAGAGTTTGCCAGCCCCTCCTTAGAACAGCACTGTCCCACATTCCCGCTATCTATCCAGTATTTTCCAGGATGCTAGCACTTAACATACAGTTAACTCACCTAGAGGACTGAATTCGTCACTTTAGTATCTTGCATGGGCAGTGGGTACTGGGTAGTATAGCATTGCTCTGGGACACACAAGCAAACACGATTGTCGAGGTAGCTAATGGTTTCCAATTTCAGCCATTCCTGTGCCACCCAACAGCCAGAAAACTCAGGCTCTGTTATTTGCTTAAATTTTATTTTACAGTTGACTCCATTTTTGCCTCATTAATTCATCTGAAGAATAAATTAAACACTACCTTTAAATAAAAACAAATATAGTTTGCCACAAATAGAACAGAGTTGTTGAATTTTTTAATTGAGTTTATTGTATAATGTGATTGACTTTGAACTCGGAAGTCTAGTCAAAGTGCTGGGCCTGACACCTGCTTTCTGTTTACTAAAAGGCCCTGACAGGGGGAACCAGGTGGGAGCTGTGCTGTGTGGAGGGCTTGGGGGGCGGGGGACTGAATGGACAGCCCTTAGCCATCCCAGGACAGGGCATCAGGTGGTTCCCCATGCAAGGATGGGAGAGATTCCAGGCAGAGAGGTGTCACTAGAGGCAAGAGTGCCCTAGTACCCACCGCCTCACCCAGAGCAGGTGCAGGGGCCAGAAGGGTGAGGGCAGTGGCATGGGACTCCCCACTGAGGCTGGCACAGTCATCCGGTCAGCTGGGCCTTAGCTGCAGTGCCCAGAGGTATGGCCTATAGGTGACACCAGGGCTTCCTTTCTCAGGCATCTCTGGAACCTGGAGCTCCTCAGCCAGCAACATCCTCCATGTGGACTCCAAGACAGGTGTGGCTGTGGCCCAGGACGTTGGACCTGTGACAGTCTACTACGAGGTCTCAGGGCACCTGAGGACCTACAAAGAGGTGGGGCCTGAGGGCACTGGTCTTGTCCTCAGGGACTTGGTGGCAGGGTCCCCGTGGGTGTCAGGATCTGCAGGCATGCAGATCCCTGGTGTACAGGTCGCCATGGGTGCATCTGACCCTCAGGGCACTGTAAACTGTCTTCGATTATTCGTAACCCACACAGGGTGGTAGTCAGACCATATTGTTGAGGGAGTCATGATTAAGGAAGACAAGCTGTGTGTCTTCTAGGCAGACACAGCTTTTCCCCAGAATATTTTTGATTCCCCCATTGGTAAAATCCATGGGCACAAGCCCAGCACCTACACATATGTTAGGATTCCCTTTTCTGTAAGAAACATGAACCACCAGGAGCTTTCCACAGCACTTAGAATCGCCCACTCATTAACTCTGAGCGGGGCACAAGTTCCCTGTTCACCATAGGCCTCCAGCACATGCACCAAACTGGTGTGATGATTCCACCTCCCACCCTGGGGGCCCAGGCCAGTGTGACCAGGCAGACACCAGGGTGGGCACTTCCCGAAGGAAGCACTGGCTGTGGGCAGGACAGCCGAGACATTTGGTGTCACCAGCAGTTAAACCTCCCCCAGCAAGTCACCTTTGGAGTCTTTCTGAAGGCGAACAAAAACCATTCTCTCTTGCATTTAACTCCAGCCGAGAATGAATCAATGAGCCTGGTCTGGCCGAGTTCCAAACGCATCTCATTTTGCGAGCCAGCATGTGCTTTATCGAATCCAGTGGTTTAACCTAATAGTTTGCATATTTAGCCCTGCGACTGTGTGGTTTGGGCAGGTGGGTTGCAGACACAGACATTTTATGATTAATGATGGGCTGCTTTCCCAGAGGAGGCTCTTGGAGTGGTCAAGGTAGGGGGCCACCTGCGACTAGGTGAGTGAGGTTTGAAAGCAGAAACGTGGGTCTGGCTTTGTGGGCAGGTGACAGTGTGTAGTTGGCCGCAGTGGTGAACATGGCCAGCTGTGGTCTCAGCTACTTGAGATGGATGCAGGAGGAACACAAGCCAAGCCTGGGAGGCTGACACCATCCTGGGCAACACAGCATGGTCCCCGCACACACAACACAAAAGGAGTATGAGACTCAGAGCCACAGTATCTGGATTCAGAGCCAGTCCTGGCCACTGCACAGCTACGTGATCTGGAGCAAGTTATCCCCATGCCTCAGTTTCCCTAGGAAGCTGAAACATGCTGGGATGCACTTAGTGTGGGCTCAGTGTCTATAGCTGCACCTTGACTGTGAGCTGCCACCATTGCCTTTCCATGGTGGGGTTGGTGGGTTGTTTTAGTCAGAATGATACAGATCGGGTGTGTGTTGAAGGGTTACCTGCAGGGCAACTGCTCCAGTACCGAGGGTGAGGCTGAGCCAGGACTGGCGGTTGAGGCAGAAACCAAGTGGGTTTGGGCAGGGAGTCACCCCAGGCGTGGCCCTGTGGAAGTAGGGATGAGCAAAGGAGGGCTTGTGGTGCCTCCCGTGTCCAGTGTGGGTAATCCGATTGATGATGGTCTTTGTTCTGAGAGAGGAGCCCAGAGGGTGGTAGGGAGACGATGGACGGCACAGTGGCTTTGGGTGGGTGTCACCACACCTCACATGAACCTCAGGGACAGCTGGGTGGCGCATCTGGAGCCCTGTGCAGAACACTGGAGATGACCCAGTCCCTCAGCAGAGATGGGGTGTGTCGGGAACAGGAACCTAAGCAAAAGGTTCTAGTGATGGCCAAGGAGTTGGGAGAAGTGGAGAGAAAACCAGCATGGCAGTGAGGAGTAGACGAGAAGACAGGGTGATGGGAGTCAAGGCCAGGGCAGCAGTGGGCAGCTTCAGCCAGTCCTGCAGGGACATGTGGGACTCCTGGAAGAGGTAATGCTTGGCAGCAGGAGCTCCTGGTGAGCCCACCTGCAGCCCTACACCTGATGCAGCCCTGGGAGCTGTAGGGCCTTCTGGGGGAGTAAGAACCCATAGAAATGCCCAGCCCAGCTGGCACACAGTCTGTGCCCACCAGGCTTCCTTGCTCTCTCCCTAGATCATGGTCAGTGTCCCACAGAGGATTGTGGCCCATCGCATCCACTCTGCCCAGACCACTTTTCAAGATGCCACAGCCTCCCGAGTGACTGTTACCGTGGGAGACAGAAGTTCAAACCTAAGAGGTCTGGAGTGCAGTGGGGGCTCAGGAGGTCTGGGGAGGGCCCTACCGACAGGGGTAGCTGAAAGTGGCTCCCTGTAGGCTTTGGAAAGGATTGCATCTGCTTTTGTCAGTGCTGGGGATGGAAGTCTGGGTGTCACCCATGCTAGACAAGGACTCTGCCACCAAACTCCATCTGCCACCTGCTTTCCTTAGTCAATCTCACTCTGACCCCAGAAAGAGCCTTTAGCTCCAGCTCATCTGCTCCTTGCAACTTCTTAGCAATTTGAGGCCTCCACAAGCCAGGCCCTTGAAAGTAGTCTTGTAGAGCCAGCTCCCAGCAGTTGCCTGTATCTGAGTCAGAAATGCCATCAGCCCTACGCCACCAGAGCAAAGAAAGCTACAGTTTGCCATCATTAATAGGAGAAACTAATGACTTAGCGAGAATGGTTGCTGTGTTTAATTTTTATACTTACCACTCCCAAACCATGCATTCTACCTCGTTCCCTGTCCGTGACAGCCCTGGCCGGCAGCTGTTAGAAATAAATAACTCAATAGAGGCTGCCATTTAGTTTTTTTCTTTCTTTAAGTCACTTGACTGATAGGATTAAACACCATTCTTATCGTGATTAATGGTACAGGCTTGTTACATGGTGGTCACTGACTCCTTCCCTGCCTTTGGTGCTAGTGGGCAGTACTCTGCTGATACTAAAGTGGTTCTCAGGGTATTATTGGAGAATTATTGCCCTCCTAGTGTCTGGAAATAATCGCTCATTCCCCCTGGTGACAAGAGCATACCATGTGCGTCAGTGCACGCAGCCATCGGCTGTGGCCCTCAGTGCCAGCTCAGAGCCCATGCAGAATTCTGAGCTGAAATTGCCCATGTTCTGGCTGACCTTCTGCATAACTTACCCTCAGTTTCTATGAAAAGTCATGGCATCTGTGAAAATCCATGGAAGGAATATGGGTGCAGATGCCATCTGCGGCCCTGCCAGCCCTCAGGGGGCCCTCCTCACCACCCCCCCTCCTCAGGTGAGTGCTCCGTCGTGCAGAGGGAAGTCATTGAGACCTTGCACCCCGAATCGATTATCGGCTGCCAGTTCCGGTTCAAGCACGACATCTTCAGTTTCCCGGCAGGGGACATCTTCGCCGTGGAACCAGGGTTTGATACTGTTCTAGGTAAACCTCCAGGGATCTGGAATCCGAAATGTACTTCTGTCTAGTGTCCATCTTAGGTCTCTGTGGCTCATGGTGGCCATCTGTCCAACAGGTGGAGGTTGTCAGGAATCCAGCTCAGAATTTGCCCCAGGCCCCTGGCCTCAGTGGGCCCTCAGGGCATGAGGAGTGGTCAGCCTTCCTGAGCCAGACCAAGGCTGGCTTCTTCTGCCACCCATTCCCAGGAGAAAGGATGCAGAGCCTCCAAACGCGGGCTGGAGTCCCCTGCTCTAGTCCTGGCCTCCATCCCTTACCTTGAAATGGGGACAGTGGTGCCTCGTTCTGCCACAGTGAGGGAGATGGATGGAGGTGTCCTTATTAAATAGTCAGGGGCTGCCCCAGGCACATGCTGGGGTGTAGCTGTTCAGTGGCCCAGGGTACTGGAGCATAGAATGCAAGGCTATCTCAGCACCAGCTTGGCCCTTCTACGTGCTGGCCAAGGGGTGCTGTGATTGCTGAACAGCAGATGTGTCCTGTGGACACCTGGGTCCTGGGCCTAGGCTCGGGCCTCACACAGCAGACTGTTGGAGGTTGACCTGCTCAGGCTTGGAAGGGAAGGGACCAAACCCAGGCATTCAGGTCCTAAGCACCTACTTTACTGTGGGTCCAGTGTGGAGGATGGGACTGAAGTCCAAATAGTGACAGGTCCCAGAAACCCCTACTGCAGCAGGGTGCTGGCCATCTCAGAGTCAGCTCTGGCTGGACTTGCAGCCCCACATCAGGGTATAGTATCTAGCTGCCATTTATTTGTTCTCCTTCTTGGCCAGGCTGGCTCCACTATGCTTCCTGCCCCAGGAGCACCACTCAGCTTGGGATGTGGGGTTCTGAAATAGTGAAGGGGACCCTTGGTCACAGAGAAGGTGTCCAAGATGAGGATTTCCAGAAAGCCTCCTGGAGGAGGGAACTTCTTACATGGGCTCTGGAGGATGTGGGAGGGGTGAGAGAAGCAGGGAGGGGGTAGCATCCCTGCGTGGGAGTGCAGGAGACAAGGTGGGTGCTCCTGTCTCTGCAGGCCAGTACTTCTGCTCAGTCACCATGCTCAGACTGACAGACATGCAGCTCAAGCACCTGAGCACCAAGACGACGACACTGGTGGTCACCGCCTCCCTTCCTGGCAGCCACTTCTCCCTGGAGCAGGTGGGGGCAGAAGTGCCCTTCAGCCCCGGGCTCTACGCTGACCAGACTGAAATCCTTTTGAGCAATCACTACACCAGCTCCGAGGTTAAGGTCTTCGGTGCTGCGGAGACCCTGGAGAGCTTGGAGGTGAGAGACATCCTGCATTTCCACTCAGGCAGGGGCCAGGGTCATGGAAAGAACCAGCAGAAGGAGTAGTGTGTCAGGGCCACATCTCTTCACTGGATCCTAGCCAAAAGGCCAAGAAGCGATGGGCCACATCTCTTTAAAATTAGAATTAAGAGACTGTTTTTTGAGATAACATCTTACTGTAGCCCAGACCAGCTTTAAGGCCATGATCCCCCTGCTTCAGCCCCCCATGTACTGGGATTATAGATGTGCACCACCATACCTAGTTTAGACTTTTTAAAATTCAAAATACTCTTGCATTTATCACTTTTCCTTAATACTGTTTTGTTCTACTCAGCTAAGTAAAATTTGTAAAAAATTTTTGGTGATACTGGGAATTCAACCCAAGGCCTCCCATGTGCTAGACAAACACTTTACTAAGCTACATTCCCAATCCTTTTTAAAAATTTTACTTTGAGGGCCAGGACTATAGCTCAGTGACCAGTGCCTGTCTGGCAAGCACAAGATCCTGAGTTCAATTTCTGGTGTTTTTTTTTGTTTGTTTGTTTGTTTTGTTTTGTTTTTTACTTAAAGACAAGGTCTTGGTAAATTACTCAGTCTGGCCTCAAACTTGAGCTCTTGTCTCAACCTGCTAAGTAGCTGGGATCACAGGTGTGCACCCCCATATCAGCCACCTGTATAATTTTGGTAATTATTTTATCTGCAACTGGAAGTTCAGAGTATGCTTAGCATTCATTATGATGGATGAATGAGTTCACATGCTGCTCTGACCTCTCCTGGGGACAAGCATCCTTTCTCTGACTTCCCTTCCAGCTGCTATACAGGAGTGAAGGGGCCCCAAGGCCCAAGCCTGTGAGCCTGGGGAGCCATTGGGGGATGGGCTGAGGGGCTTGCCGGCTCCTCCTCATCCTGTGGTGGCCACTGTTCCTAACAGGGAGTGAGGCCATGCTGCTGGCAGAGCTACCAGGCCTGGGCAGGGACTATCACTAGAGAGGCCACACACAGAACCCTTGGTGGCTTCCCTGGAGGCTGGTTACAGTGTCTGCTTTAGCAGTTTTTGAAATAGTGCTTATTTAGCCTTCCATAACCCCAACTGTAGTGCCCCAAGTGTAGGCAGTGCATTCTGGCTTTGCAAGCCACACGCTTTCGGTGAAGCATCCTGGGCACCCCGTCTAGGAGGTATGGTACAGGCTGAGGTCCTCACCAGAACCCCCTGAACCTGGGAAGGGAGTGCTCTGTGTCCAGCTCAAGGGCTGCTGGCCCAGGTGGCCTGCTGTGCAGAATGCATAGCGCCAGCCCTGACTTCTCTCCCAGGTGAAGTCTGGATCCCCAGCTGTGCTGGCCTTCGCAAAGGAGAAATCTCTGGGACTGCCCAGCTTCATCACATTCATAGTTGGCATTTCGGACCCTGCGGCCGGCAGCCAAGGACCTCTGTCCACAGCCCTGACCTTCTCCAGCTCTGCCACTAACCAGGCCCTCACCATTCCCGTCACCGTGGCCTTTGTGATGGACCGCCGTGGGCCTGGTCCCTGTGAGTCACAGAGTGGGACGGGGAGGGATGGGCTGACTCGGTCTCCAGTATCAGTAGAAACCAGCGGTGTGAAAATTGGAGGAGCCCAGGTACAGAATGTCTCTCAAGGTGACTGTCATTACTTCCCCACTGCCATGGCGGCTCCCAGCAAAGCAGCCTCCTGTGCTCAGCAGCCCACTCAGCCCCACCATCAGCAGGCGACACCCCCATCCCTCTGATGGCCCCAGGGCACTAGGCCCTCTGCCTTCCTCATCCGTTCACACTTACCTCTCAGGGTCCCTGATGGACTACACAAGTCCTGTCCCCTTGCCACCACCTCCACTCTGCCTGAGCCGCTGCCCCCCACATAACCCCTTGACCTGCCCCCTCACCTCCTGTAATCCCACCCTCTCTAATACTGCATCTGGGCTCGTACTGAAAGCCTCAGCCACACTCCCAACACTTGGCCCTTTTCTTTTTCCTCTTGCCAGCTGTCAGTCCTGAGTAGACAGTTAATTCTTCGGGTCTCTGCTCAACACCTGCGCCCAGAGGCCAGATATGCAGGGACAGCACTTAGAGCAGGACCCTTTGTGCTCAGTGATCATGCTGCTGAGTGAAGGGGTCGCTTAGTTTGTACTCACTGCTTGGCACTTTTCACAAGCTAGATCATTTAGTAGGGAGGACTCAGAATTCCAAATGTGGCCAGAAAGAATATGTATTTCTGAAGCTGTACCAAGGAAAGGGCTTCATGTCCCCTCTGGGGAGCAGGAGACAGCATAGAAAGGCTGTGTCACTCGTTTCAAGGATGAGTGGCCAGGGCAGGGCCATGCAGCCAGTGCGACAGACCCTGTGGAAGGCATGGAGTGCTTTTCCCCGAACAGAGCAGAGCAGGGGCCTGAGCAGCACTGGCCGCCTGGTTGGGAGTGGCTGGAGGGGGACAGGCAGGCCCTGTGGCCCTCTGGTGAGGAACCTGTGCCTTTCTGCTGTCTCAGGGTGGTGGCAGAGGGAGCAGAAAGGCAGCTCTTGGTCCCAGATGAGCTTTAAGTGTAGGATTATGGATGGAGGAGGAGGAGGAAGAGAAAGAGGCTACTCCTGGCCCAGCTGCTTGGGAAGCATGGCTTTGACCCCAAGCACTGAGCTCCCCAAGGTCCCGCACAAAGAGCCCCTCAGTGTCATTAGAACAGCCTCCTTTGCCTTCTGAGCAACCTGGTCCTTGCACAGTGACTGGAGAGCGCACCCAAAAGGAAACTGAGTCTTGACAACAGGCTACAGGAGGAGGGGCCAGAGCCCCAGGTGACAGCGCAGGACTGGCCCCAGCCTTGGGCAGGCCGCACACCTGGAAACTGCCCTGTGCTCCTGTCTGAGGCTGGCTTGCACATGCCGTCCCCGCTGCAGCAGGGTTGGGTGGGACGGCGCAGGGGCCTGGAAGCACAGGAACACCAGGGGACACCCCGGGGCCAGAGGGCTTGCTGACTGCTCTCTCCATGGCTGGCAGATGGCAGCAGCCTCTTTCAGCACTTCCTGGATTCCTACCAAGTCATGTTCTTCACGCTCTTCGCCCTGCTGGCTGGGACTGCAGTCATGATCATAGGTAAGGTGGGCACCCGCATTTCTGGGCAGTCTGTCCCATGCCCTCCCACCCTAACCAACTGTGTTTCTTGCAGCCTACCACACAGTCTCCACGCCCCGGGGGCTCGCCACACCTCAGGCCCTCAACTCCCAAGCCAGCCCAAAGCCCAGCCCTCAGCCCAGCCCACAGCACAGCCCGCACTGTGAGTAGCACCCTTGACTGTAGGCACCGCCAGGCCCAGCCTTAGCTGGAGGGAGGGGTCAGGCTCTCAGTCCTGTCTGGGCTTGGGGCACATGGAGGACAGGCCAGCCCATGTTGAGTGCCAGTGTCTCAGGCAGAGCCTGCTGGAGAAACAAGGGCTCCTCTGGAGTAGTCCTTGTGCATCTCCTGATCCTGCTCGAGGGTCCTCTGCCCTGCACAAGATAATCTGGAACAAGCTCCTAAGAGTCCAAATGGGGACCTTGAAAAAGCTGCACAGGTTGAGCACTGCAGATTCAGTGTCCTCTCCTCGTGTGTGAGCTCTGCAGGCTCCCAGGGCAGCCTCTGATCTTGGTTAAGAAAGTGTCCCATGCATGTAGCTAGCACTTCAGAGACACTAGAACTGACCGATAAGCCCTGGAGAAATGTCCGGTGACCTAAGTTGTTCCTTTCCTGTCTCCTCCCTAGATTTTGCTGCCTCATCACCGACCCCTTTCAACGAACTGCTTCCTGCTCGCAAAGCCAGTCCTCCCTCAGGGCTCTGGAGCCCAGCGTATGCCTCCCGCTAGCCAGTGTTCAGTAGGTGCTGATGGCAGCTCCCCACAGATGCCTTCGTGTCAGGAACGCCCCTGCCACATTCATGCTGGAACAAGGCCCTCAAGGCCCATACACCTGTGCCCCAGCCACCCTCGCTGTCCCTTTGCTTTTGCAGAATGGAGATAGTGTTGTGCTATTTAGCTAATTCTCATATGTAGGAGTTTTAAGTTTGTTTTTTATAATTTCCCCTCCAGGGCTGGGTGTGGTGGCACACACTCATAACCCTAGCACTGGGGAGACTGAGTCAAGAGGATAGAAAATTGAAGGCCAGGCTGGACCATAGAGCAAGACCCTGTCTCAAACAACAACAGAATTTCCCTTCCAAGTCTTGCAAAGCTAGGACTGGCTGGCTCATTCCTTCATTCCCGGCTGTCTAGGATTTCTGGACATTGTCCCAATTGTTTTTTTATTTTCTTAGCATTGCTATAAACCACTCCCTCCTAAATACTTGGAGCAGCTAAAACTCAAATTAGAAGGAATCTGAAGATGATGTTCCTGTAGTGGTCTCAGGGAAAGGATTTTCTAGTTGCTTTGGGGTTTGGGGTGCGCGTATGTGCGCATGTGCATGGGTGTGTGTATGTGGTGCTGGGGATGGAACCCAGGGCCTTGGACATTCTGGGCAAGTGCTCTCCCACGGAGCTACTCTCAAACCTTGTTGTGGGTTTCCCCCTGTGAAAACTTCTCCTCATCTGGCTGCTGCTGGGAGATGTGGGAGCCAATGGATGTGACTCCCTGGGCCTGCCCGCTTTAGCATGAGGATCACAGCACCTGGAGCCCCTGGAGAACTCAGCCCTCCTGACTACTGTGAAAAGCCTCCTGTCCTCTGGCCCTGTGCTTCAGAACCTGTTCAAACAGCTGGTGGATGTGGCTTCATCCCTACTGAGCCACCCCCAGTGGGGATCCATCTACTCTGACCTCAGCTTTTCTGCAGCATGGGGACATCCTCTGGCTGGTAGCAGGGACCTCCCACCAATTTGTTCTGTGAAACAATACGTTCTGCCTCAGTACAAAGACCCAGAGTCACCCGTCCCTGGATAGGTGGGACGCTGCAGTACCTCAGCAGATGTGAGCCTTTGCCGCCCAGCTGCGGAAGGAGATGTCCTCTCCCTGATCAGCCCAGGCCCCAGGCAGCTTCCCAGCAGGCCGTGGAGCAGCCTGCCCTCCAGGAAGGACACCCCAAGGAGGTGACAGAGCCCTCCTCTACCCAGCTTCTGTCAGCTCTGAGGAGTACAGACCTCCTTCTCTGAGCCAGAAAGCCATGCTGCCCCCAGGAGACCTGGAGGCTGCACAGAGCTCGCCACATGGACCACTGTGATACTGACTCCACAGGGCCCGTGTGCCTCTCAAAGTCAAATGTGAACCACCTCCACCTCCGGCCAGGCCGCAGAGATGTCTGGAAGCTGGAGGGCAGATGACTTGTGCCTTGCCTACTACTTGAGCTCACACTGACAACCTGGATGTCCATAAGATCCTTTCTCCTTGTTTTATTTAATAAAGTTCTGTATAATTTCTTAGGAGGAGTGTGGTCATTGCCAGATGGACCTCTTAGGGTAGCACAGTCTTCCTTCGTCTGGCTCCTGAGTTTCCCCTCTCACCTCCAAGAGCTCAATCCTAGGTGGCAGCAGGGCCCTGCCCTGGTGCCACCTCAGTCCTCTCTCTTGGGCTCTGTCCCTTCTGCCAGCTGGTACTCGTCCCAGATCCCTTCAGCCCTCCCACACCCCAGGCTCTGAGGTCTGCCAGACCTGCCCTGGTAACCTGCCTCAGGAATCCCACTGTGCCACCACTGGCTGGGGAGGAAGTGGCCAGCCAGACTCTCACAGATGAAGAGGAAGATGAGGGGGCCTGTCCCCAAGAGGAAGGCTCTGGGGGTGCAGCGAGAGCTCCAGCGGAGTTCCTCCAGTCCCACAGTTCTCTGATTTTTCCCATCCGGTGTCACCATCCTCTAACTCCATCTCCCTCGCCGGCTGGTAAAACAGGCCTGATTGTAACTGTTCCCAGACCACCCACAACACCCTCAGCCAATGCCAGATGCTCCACACAGCCACCTGGCACACAGCACACTCCTTAGATGTCAGCATCGCCCTAGGCGAGGCCCCTCAGAAGCACAAGGAGGTGTAGAGACAAGCTTTCCTGTATCTTGCTTAGGAATAAGGACATCTCAGTCCTGTGCACCAGAAACCTTCAAGGTCCCCTGGACTCCCAGGAGCTGAGTGCCTTGGCTCCTTTTGGATGAAATAGAAATGGCTCAGCTTCCTCCCTTCCCCATCTCGGATGCTACAGCCTAGCCAGCCTGGCAGGTCATAGGCTGTGGTGCTCTCCCCAGGGGCAAGCATCCTTTTAAACTGACTTGGGGACAAATGCAATTGCTGGGGAAAGTGATGGATCTTTCCAGCAAGTGCACTCAGTCAGCGAGGCGCAGTGAGACTCCTAAGTGACATAGCAGAGCATAGCTTCTGCTCCCTAGTGAAGCAGCTCTCCTGCTCTAAAGGGTGCCAGCAAATGCTTTTAGCACCATTTAGCGCTAAAAATACAGTACTACGTGGAGAGTTTAGGATCCCCAAGTTTGATAAAAATTTAACTGACTCCTCCTTGCTTCCTTTTCTCTCTCCCTGCCTTTCCCTCTCTCCCTGTCCCTGGCCTCATGTTTGTCTCTCTGCTCCATCATCACACATGTGTGTCCTGCCACCTTGGGCACCTTGGAAGCCTTCCACCTGCAAGTCTGACACACTGACTCAGAAAGAGCACAGAATTGGGTCTGAGCAGCACAGTTCTAGATGGTGACCGGGAACTTAGAGGTCAGGGAGTGTGAACATGGCCCACCGTGTCCTGGGGCCACAGAGAAAGTGTACCTCTCTGGGTGATAGGAGTTCTCTTGCCACTAAAGAGGCCTTCCTGCCCTCTGTCCTGCCCACAACCCAGAGTGCCTGCCAGCAGGGGGCAGGTGGCAGGCTGCTTCCCTGTTCCTAGCTCCCCACAGCCTCTCCAGGAGGCTCTACAGCTCCTCCAGCCCACAGAAGTTGCATTGGCCATGAGATGTTCCTTGGCCAAAACAAAGAGACCTAGAAAAGACCAAAGTCTGAAAAGGAAACATATCTGCCCATCCCAGATCAGTTGACCTGCAGACCCATAACACGGATCATTGTTTAGAGGCCCTGACTTTGAGGACTGTTTGTTAAGCAGCATTATCACAGCAGTAGGTGGCAGATACACCTGAACCCAGTTAGGGTACATTTTCTGTCACTGGTTCTCTTCAGCTCCATTATTTTCTAGTCTCATTCTGATGCAGTCCCTAAGGCCTGTCCTGGCAGGATAGGGTTTCCTGGGGATCTCTGATCCCAGGCAGGAGGCTCTAAGGACAAAAGGCACAGGTTGGCCACTGTGTTCTTCCTTGTGGGACCCATGCAGAGAAGGGTGCTGTCTAGTGGTTGTTGAATGATTCATCAGTCCACTCTGTCCTTTCCACGGCCGAGGCACTGTGCTTACAGAGGAGGAAACTCAGGCATGCAGTGTGAAGCCCCTTTCCAGTGCATCAGGGCCCAGGGATGGAACTGAATCGAATCCATAGACCATGTCAGAGTTTGTCCTCTGCTGGGGCTGGGCATCTGCCATGGGCGAGGAAGGAGCCAGGGCTCCACCTCCGTTAGAGCAGCTCAGCCTTTGGCTATCTCCTGGGTGCTCCGTAATCCTAGCTGTCTGTGGTCCTAGCTACTCGCAAAGCTGAGGCAGGAAGATTGCAAGTCAAAGCCCAACCTAGGCAACTTAGCAATGTCGGGCGACCCTGTTAAAATTTTACAGGGCTAGGAATGTAGTTCAGCGCAAAAACTCAGTTCAATTCCCAGTACCACACACACAAATTATGAGGAGAAAAATTTTAACAGAAATATTTTTCATTCATAGTTTTCAGCAGAAAAAATGTCAAACATTTATGTAAAATTATTTTCATAAGAAAAAAATTTAGAAGTACAAATAAAACTACAATAGACCCTACTACATACCACTAAGAATTGGCAGTCAATAGTTTAGTCTTACGGGCTTCTACGATTTGTTACTTTTTATTTTTTTATGCTTTCCTAAAACCAGACAAAAAAGTCTGACTTCAATCTCATTTGTCATCTGCCTTCTATGCCTTCCCCTTGCCATTCTCTGAGGCGACCACTCTAGTGATTCCGAGCATATCTTTCCAAGACAGCTATCTTCTTCTAAGCATCAATAAATAAAACGTTACTATTTTGTGGGTTCTTTTAAAATTCTGCATATCTCTGGTCCTGCCTGGTACCACTCAGCCTCTTGCTTTCCTGCTCAGTTGCTGTGAATACTATTCCATCACTAGCTGCCCTTCGATGTAATTTTACTCCCTTATTATTGTACACATAGATCATGGACTGTCTCACATTTGTCTGCAGTGAATGATGTCTGCACCAGACACCACACGAATCGCTGTGGTTGGATGTTGAATGTTTCCGGGAAGGTCGTGTGCTGGAGACATGGTCCACAGGGTGGGGCTGTTGGGAGAAACGGAACCCTTTGGGAGGTGGAGCCTTTCGGGAGTCCCATATGTTACTGGGGACAAGGTGCCCCAGAAAAGATCCAGACCCACCTATCCCCCTTTGCTGATTCATGACAAAAGCTCCACCAAGCACCGCCCATCCCCATGATGAGGTTCTGCTATTGCCAAACGCCCAGAGCAATGAGGTTCCTGAACTTGCACCAGAAACTTCAGAATTGTGAGCCAAAACCTTTTTTTCTGTAAAAATGAATAATTTCAGTTATTTCGTGGCAGTAATGCGAAGCTGAGGAATAGAGGCACAGAAGCTGGAGTGTCTCTTGGTTAGAGATCCAAAGGTAGAATTCCTGGGTCAAAGGATACACCCATTATGAGTTTCTCTAATGCTAATAAACTTCCAAAATGTTCTACCACTTTTTACACCCACCAACTGGATGTGAGTCTCTGTGTCCTCCATTCTTCCCAATGCATGATACAACCATATGTATCTATTTATGTCTGCTGTCAGTAGGTGAAAAACAGCATTTTATGAGTGATTTGGATGCCTTGATTGATAGAAAGGGTTAGTTTATGGTTTGTTTATTGATCATTTATGTTTCTCCCTGTGAAATGTCTGTTCTCTATCCACTTATTTTTATTTTTAGTTATTTGTCTCCCCAAAAGCAAAATACCATAAAATACTTATTCATATACCTCTTTTGTACTAGGTGTCTCAGTTAGCTATTGCTGTGTAACAACTCACAAGTCTCAGTGACTTAAATCAGCTAACAGTTATTATTTCTTATGAGGCTGAAATCACCTAATCTAGGGTGAGCTCAGCAGGGAGTGCTTGCTCCACCTATCTCTCCTCGTCCTCCTCCTCCTCCTCCTCCTCCTCCTCCTTCTTCTCCTCCTCCTCCTCTTCGTCCTCCTCCTTCTCCTCCTCCTCCTCTTCGTCCTCCTCCTTCTCCTCCTCCTCTTCCTCCTCCTCCTCCTCCAGTGGAGACAATTTAGCTGCAAGAGACCAGCTGGAACCTGCTGCCAGCTCTTGAAGGCAAGGCTGTGATGGGCAAATTCTTGTCTGCATTAGAATATTTCCTTTTTTGGACAGAGTCAGTCACATGTCTGAATCTAGACCCAAAGGATGAGACAGACTCTTCTTTTATAGGGGAGTGCAGTGTCACAGGCCAATGGTGTGAGGAGAGGTGGAGAGGCAAGGTCACTGCTCTCTCACACACAGGTCATCTTTTCTTCTTGGTTGTGTTGATCTGTGGTCTGCCCTGGACACTGAGGGAGAGGAAGGAAGGAAACTTCCCTTTTATTGAGCACCAAATGTTTGCACCACGGTGCTGGGGGAACCAACACAGAAACTCATTAATATTTAATATTTTATATATTGATATTTTCTGTTAAGTAGCAGTTGCCAAAATTTTAAAAAGTAGAATGCTGAGAATTCAACCCAAGGCTTTGTGTTCTGCCACCGGCTGAAACCTCCAGCATCCCTGGCATCCCCAAAATAAAACCTACTGCTCAGTTCAACTCCTTCCATTGTACAGATGAGGGGACTGAGGCTCAGAGACAGAAAGGACCCTGTCTAGGCTCACACCCTGATGAGATGCCATGACCTGCTTCTGTCACTGAAGAAGATCAGCATTGGTGCTCACTGGCCGCAGACGTGAGATTGCTCACGGGAAGTCTCAGCAAATCGCCCTGAGCATTGTTCCCTGCGATTAATTCTCAAGGAGCCAGTTTAAGCCGGCAAATTTAACATCAGATAAAGTAAGAAATCTCAGTTAAAGACTGAAGAAAAATGAAAATAAAACAAAACCCGAGACCGTGGGTTTGGGGATTGTCTATTACTTTGCTAAGTTTTATGTTGTATGTAATTAGCGAATAAGATTCTGTGGAGGATTTCATTAGCAGCCTCCTCAGGTGACCATGCTCCTTTGCTGAGACAAAGATTTCAGTCTTCACTGAAGGCAAGTAAAGGCGATTTATCAGAGCCAGGAAAATGGACTCTCAGGGACTTGC